GAGCCGGGACCACCACAAGCCCCTCGCAGCCCTCAGTCCCCCAAATCCTGCATGCTGGAGAGGCTGGGGACCAGAGCACAAGCCACAGAGCAGCTCTTGCTGCCTCCACGCTGGCGAGGCTGTGCCCTGGAGGACAGTGGCAGGGACGGGGCTGCTCGCACCCGAGTTCGGGGAAGCCTTGGCAGAGCAGACCGTTAGTAGCAGGATTCATGCTCCCTGCCCCTGCCTGCATTTGTAATGGGATTTGATCGGCTTTAAGGCGGCTTATTCTGCCAATTAGCTTCAGCCAGTGAAATCCCTCTTCCCCGGAGCCCCGGGGGCAACAATCTGCTGACAACATGTTCTTTCCCCGATCCAGCCATTAAACTCACCAGCAGGGCTGGCAATTGTTAAAAAAAAAATAAAAAAAATAAAAATAAAACAACACCGAAACTTGAAAAACCCCCTTGTGCATGGGGCCCTTCATCACCGGTTGCATTACAGCGCTCCGAGCCGCTGGCCCTGGGCGAGCACCGTAAGGTGCCAGCCCCACGCCGCCGCTCGCCCCGGGGCCAACCTGTGGAGCAGGGCAGGAGCCTGGGCTTTGGGGTGGGCTTTTGGGGTGCCGAGGGCCGGGGTACCGCGAGGAGGGGCTACGGGCTTCTTCCCACCCAGCGCAGCTCCGCGTGGGGATGCCCCGGCGGTGCGCGGGGCCGCGGTGCCGAGCCGCCCCCGGCCGTGTCCCGGCTGTCCCCAGACGGGGCTCAGCCCCCGGCAGCATTGGGCCGGCGAGGGGGCGGCGGGGTGCTGGAAACGGGGTGCTGGAAACGGGGCGTCCCCTCGCTTCTGGGCACGCAAAGCGGGGACCCGAAGTGTAAAGCATCCCCCGAGCGAAGCGCAGAGCCTCGGGGGCGGGCAGGATGGAGCGGCCGGGGGCACGGAGCCCGGCGACCCCCCCCAAAATCTCCGCGACGGGGAAACTGAGGCAGGGAGCGGGGCGCACCGCGGCCGGCGGGGTGCTCACCTGGAGGGGCGCAGGGCTGGCCCGAGGGCCAGGCAGAGCAGCAGCACCGTCCCGGACATCTCGGCGAGGAAAGAGCCGGTCCCGGGCGGGGGGGGGAGCGGCGGAGGCGGCGGCGGGGTCCCCCCTGTGCCCGCTGCGCCGCGCTCCAGCCCCGCCGCCTCCCGCCCGGCTCCGCGCTCGGCGCCGCCGGGGAGGCAGGGGAAAGTTGGGCATCTCTTCGGCGAGGGGAGGAGGGGCTCCGTGCAGGGTCCTAGCTCCACGCTCGGGGGCCCGTGCCCGCCCCCGGAGGGCCGGGCAGCAGCTTAGAGGGGGGGGGCGCAGCGCTGAGCCTCCCCCTCCCAAAAAATCTGCCAGCGTTGCGCCCCCGGGAGCGAGCAGCGGCGGGTGGCACGGTGCTCGCCCTGCCCCTCTGCGGAGCCAGGAGTCGTCGCTTGCCATCGATACGTACGAAAGAAGGCTAATTAAAGAAATAATTGAAGGTAATTATTGTTACAGCACGCAAGGCAGCGGGCCCCGCTGAGTTGCCGAGGAGATGCAGCCGGCAGCGGGTCCTCTCCCACCTGTAGGGCCGCTGGCCCGTGGAAAAAGGGTGGGAGCGTGTGGGTAGGAGCAGGGGGCTGAGGGTGGGTTGTGAGTTTTTGAGCTCTCTGCTGCTGCTTTCCCCGGTTTGCCAAGCAGCCTTGGGCAGTTCTTTTCACTGCTGGCATCCAGCTTGTAAACATAGATAGCAGATTCCTCCTTGGCATGTTTTAGATGAGAGTTACTGGGACCCAACTTTGTTACAGCTACATGCAGGAGCAATAATTGCCCTTCACCATTTGGTTACAGCCCGTGCTTTGCAGAAGCCTGTCCCCCGAGGGGCACGGTCCTGCCTCTCCCAGAGGACCTGGTACCATTGATCACAGCTTGGGACTTGATGCCATCGGATGTATTGCAGTGGCACCATGGACAAGTGGCACCAGTGACAAGTGGCTCTCCCGGCCCTGCCACAGCCTTTCCCACACAAGCACAAGCAAATCGCTTCCTTTTCTCTGCATCGTGCCTGTAACCACTGCTCAGCAGGACAGGGAGATGTCCCTTCCCCACACGCATTCAGTGCCTAATAGCTAGGGCCAGTCTCAGTGGGGACGAGGGGGCTACAGCAGCACAAACAGTAAATAACAGCAGCACACCTGGGTGATTTTTCAAGGCTCTTCCTACACAGGCTCTCCCTTGCCGATTCTAGCAATGATCACCTCAAGCCCTCGAGCATGAGATCTGAGCAGCATCAAAGCCGTAGGAGCCAGCTGCAGGCAGCGCCGCTCCGAGATGGAATTTCCTCGTAGCGGAGCAGCTGCAGATGATGTTTCTTTTTAGTGCAAGCACAGGAGCCGCTCTGGGATGGTGGGTTTATAGGAAGCACATGTCAAAAGAGTAAATAACGAAATCAAAGCAACGGCGAAGGTGAAAGAACCCTTTAAACTTCAAAGCGAGGCACCCGATTGCCCCAGAAGTTCTGCAGGGATCTGGATGAAGCTGAAGTTGGGAGAGATGCACTGGTAGCTGCGGGGAGGATGTAGCTGTTGGAAGGTTGTGGTCCTGAACGGATCACAGAAAACCCAGGGGTTGGTACATGTGCTCTCAGCTCCCCCTCAAGACGCAGGATGTGAAGTGGCACGTGGGGAAATTCACTGCACCACTTCGGTTTTCACTTGCACCAAAGGGAGGAAGGAAACACGTCGATGGCGCGTGGAGGAGAGCAAGAGGAGGGCGCTGCTTTTCAGACAAACACCTTATTTACCAACAGCACAGGCTGAGGCAGGAAGAAAGCCTTTTCAAATTCAGCAAATTATTTTGAACAGGAACGAACCACCCTCAGTCTGAACACTGAGAAGCACAAGATGTCCTACACCAGTGTTTGGGAAGGAAAGGGTCCCTGTTTTCCACTTTGAAGAGATGTTTGTTTCAAGGTCTTGTCACAGGATTCTCCAGACTTAAACAGGAGATGAAATATTTCATTCAAAATACTTTTTGTTCCTTCTGGTGCTGTTGGACAGTCCCAGCCACTGTCCTTGGTGCTCGCTCTCCTCACAGTAACAAAACGGGGCTGTGCTGTGACCTGGCCATCATGTGCTCTCCTCTGGGAACCACGCAGGTTCCCACACCAGGGCTTCCAGTGGGTTTCCTCCCTCTGTAATGGGAGAAATCCCAGGAGAAGCTGGCTACAGGGCCTCTTTGGAAAACTTCTATGATAAAACCCCATGCATAAGCCTAAACTCTCTTCTCTGAACTGGGGCACATCCTGTACACCAGAAACATTTGTTTACTCTATCAGGGCATTTGTTTGACACCACCGAGGCTTTGTCTGTTCAGGCTCACCGGGCACAGCAGCAGATGCTCATCGGGGCTCACACGACATCAATAACGGCTCCAGCTGGGCTCTGGCTTCCCACCGACACGGACAGTGATGATGTATGAAGCAGACAGGACACGGTTTGATTTTTGGGTGCAGGAGTGAACTGGCAGTGCTTGCGGATAAAAAAGAAGTGCTTGGATCCTGAACAAATGTGACGTGAATGTTTTCCAAGGAGAATGAAAGGAGTGGGAGGACAGCCCAGGTCATAGCAAGAGCTGCTGCACGCTGTCCTGGAGGGCGATGGGAGCACTGATGGGAGCAAGAGCTTTGCTTTCAGCCTTGGCTGCTACATCAGGCCAGGCCTGAAGGAGCCTCCAACATCCCCTTCCACCACGGACAGTCCCTCATTCAAGCTACTTTGTTAGAAGAGATCACCAAATGGATATGTGATCTGATCCTGGGTCTCAAATCGGTTCTCGCTGTCATCCCTGGATGGGAAAGATGCCATTGCCTGCTTTTTCTTTATGGCTCTGCTCTTTTGGCAGGCTCCCCAGCTCAGGGCTTAAAATGTTACATTCCTCCTCGGGATCAATACGTGAGAAGAGAAAATGTACATAGGAGAGGGTGGGGAGGGGGAGAGAGTTGGCAGTACTTAGCAAAAAAATAAAAAAGGAAAAAATCTCAGCAAATTGAGCATGAGGTGCCTCAATGCAGCTTCAAACAGGAATTTGCAGCTATGCCATCCATCCATCAGATGTCCAGCACAGGACCACGAGCTGGTAGTTTGGTGAGCAATCACCAGCATCACTCCCAGGAAGGATATTCCAAACGGTCTGCAACTCCTGACACAAACCTTGGGGACAAGCAGCTGCATGGAACAGGAGTGATTGCTCCTCATCACTGCAGAAACACTTCTGCCTCTGGATCAAGACAAGCTAGCTCCTTGTCAACATCAGTTCAGGGGAGGGGAAAAGGAACCAGGAGGGTCAAGGACAGAAGATGGTACTCAGGACCAAATCCCATGCAGTCCCTAACCCTACCTGACTCTCTCCATGCCTGCTGGGAAGCTGAGGCACACCACCATCCACCAGCCTGGCAGGCTTTGAGAAAGGCAGAGGGAATCACAGTTACGTTTTTTGTTAATACCTTCAGGGCATTTCTGCCTGGAGATGTGGGAATTTCTTTCCACACTGCCTCGGGAACGTTTATCCAGTAGTAAATAATGCTCACTTGTGGCAGGGTTCAGCTGCCCGCAGCGAGCCCACGTTCTCACACCTCTTTTCCTCTTGGAAGCTCCGAGGGATTGCAGGGTCTCTTTGCTTCCCTTCCCTGCGAAGCTCTGGTATCACACCAGCAGGAGGGAAATGTCCCGATGCCCTTTTCTCTCAAGTGCCTGAACCTGAGGGATGCTTTTAGGAGGGGCTGGATTTTGTCATGCCTTAAGGCAGTGTTTGGGTTGGTGGCGTTCACAGAGCCACCCCAACAGGGGTTAGTGAGAGCTCTCCGGGGAGGTGGCTGCCCTTTGCTGCCAGGCTGCTGGACCTGGTAATTGCCAGCACGTCAGCAATGAGAGATCTTCCCCTAATACTCGCTAAGCTCCAATCTTAATCTTGTTCGTCGCTGTTAAGTCTCAGGGAAACCGGGCCGATGCGCTGAAAGGAGGTGAAGTTAAAAGATTTGAGAGGAAACTGAAGTCTCTTCAAAAAAAAAATGAAGAGAAATAATCTTCAAAGGTTCCCACGAGCCCGCACACCCTGACCTGCATGAGCTGCACAGATAAACACTGCGAAAGCAGCCGGAGCCTTGCAGGGCTTGTTTCTTAGCCTGATATTTTGTGAGAGAGACGATTTGAGGCTGGAATGGGAAAGCAGCACTGGGAACCAAGCATGCCGGGCTGGGCAGTGGGGTTATGGGGTGGAGAAGTAGGTGTGGGAGCACACGGCAGGCTCCCCATGGGGTGCGGTACTGGGGTGCCTCCCCTCTGGGTATTTCCAAACAGCCAGTGCCCTACAGCACAGGTGGATTCCAGAGCCAGCTACTCATCACCTGCCATGGGTACTTTGGGAAACCTGGGAAGGGAAACCATCAGCTCCTGGGGGAGCTTGGCAGCAAATTTCCCCCTTGTCTTCATCCATGGGTTTGGTGGACAGGGGACTCCTGCCTTCCAGGAGGCTGTTAGAGAACGCCTTTCAACAGCAGTCAAATCCACCAAAAAAAAAAAAAAAAAAGCAAGCCATAATTACACCCACACAGCTCTCCACACACTGCGCTAAGCTTCACCCCCCTGTCAGAAATGCACCCGCACTGATGGAGTGGATATGTTGATTAAAAATCCCCAAAAATGAATAGATCAAGAGAAATCTGCCATATCCCTGCAGCAAGGGTGAAGCGCTTTTTAATTAAGGACAAAGAGATGCAAATGTCCTGAATCATCACAAGCAAATAGCAAAATAGCACCTGTCAGAATATTAAAAAACAAGCACTCAGCGTTCCCTTGTGATCAGCTCGAAGGAGGCCTTGAGTTTAAAAAAAAATTAAAAAAAATAAATCCCACCGAGAGTTGAAAAATGTAACAGGCTGAGATAGAGGGAAGGGCTCAATGAAAACAAGCGGGTGCTGCTCGCTGCTGGTTCTGGTGCCAGAACAGAAAGGTCAGAGCCGTGCTCCCATGTGAGACCTGCCCGTGCCAAAGCAGAGGGGATTTCAGGTTTTTCAGGAAATGAGAGCAATAGAGATGGGGTTAAGAGCTTTGCAATGCGACCCCTGCAAACCCTTCTCATCTTTGTTGAATTGAAGTCCCAGGCCCCAGGGCCAAGGGGGACACAGGGACAGGAAAGGCAATGAAAGGAGCAAGTGTAGGAACGCACTGCAAGGGCTGGCACAGCCCAGAAGCAGCGACAAAGGGCTGTGAAAGGAAGGCAGAGCGAAAGGGAAATGCCTGGAATAATAAGTGACGGACGGATGCCTTTGAAGGGGACTCGGGTATCTCGGGTCTCCAGCCTGACCTACTTAAAACTGTCGTAATCTGATGAAGGAGCATCCTCCGGCTCTAAATATAAACTCCATTCCTCTCCATTTAAATCCCTTCCCTCTGCCACCGAGGGTGGGACGGTGCTCAGCAGCTGGGCACAAGGTGCTGTGTGTGTCCCATAGGTCCTGGGGTCATGCAGAAGGGTCTCCCACCAGCTGGGGATTGCCTGTAGGGGAATTAAAGGTTGCAGTACTGTCAGGTAATGATTCTTGGTGCAAGCAACACAAGGGACCCAAAAATAAGGAGGCTCCTCTTAGATCCTTGCATCCGTGTGGTTTGCAGTCAGACATTTCCGTGGTTTTAAATGAACCACAGCTCTGGTGCACAACAGAGGCTTGCAGCATTTGAACAATTAGCAAACTTAAGCAGAATTTGGCAATTAGTTTAAGCTAAAAGCAAAACAAACAGAACCACAATCCAAGAGAAAAGAGCAGCAAAACATTTTTTTTCCAATCTGTTTCGAAATGAAACATTCTAAGAATACCAAAACGTTTCACCAATCCTTTTTCTAAATGAATTGCTTCAAGTTTTTCCACCTCAGCACACCATCATTCATTTAAAACGTGACCTTCTTTAAATAAAAAGGGGAGAAAAGGAAACACTGTTTAGGTTTGAACAAAATATCAAGATGACAAGATGAATTTTTTTCATTTTTCCTATTTCACTGGAAAGCCATATAGGGGGGAAAAAAAGGAAAGAAAGAAAGAAAAAGCTTTTGAATCAATCTGAACCAAATTCACTCCATCCCTCACTCTGCTCTGGAGCAATTTCCACATCCGTAATGGGTATTCCCCAGGGAGCCGCTCACTGCAGCCCCTTGGTGTGAGAATGAAGGGGACAGCTGAGCGACTCGGCAGAGTGCCTGGGGCAATCTGGTCCCTGGCATGAGCTCGGGGAGAGCTGGCAGATCAGAGCAAGACTCATAATACTCTTTTATCAAGGGCTTTCATCAAGCCTTGCGCCTCCCAACTCCCCGAGAATACCAAGTTTCCAGCTCATAGACTCTGGGACTGTACGAGCTATTTGGGAACCTCCGCATGCTCTAACCAGCTTCTTCAGTTTGGTGGTGAAAATGCGTGTAGAATTAGTAAGGAAAAACAATTACGTTAAAAAAATGTCATTACAGAAAACTAGCAGGCTGCACATCTCAGTACCACCAACAGACCAAGATGGGCTTATTCCCTTTGTGGAGACAGGCCCCGTTAATTTCCTTGGCAGGATCTCCCATGCTAAGACAAGGAAAATGTTTGGTTTGACTTTTTTTTTTTTCCCCCCCCCAGTGTTTATGAACACTGGGAAGCTTGGGGTTAAAAAAAGCTCTTAATCTGAAATGCTACATACATTAATTTTTGCAAAGCTCAAGTTTAGGGTAAAATCTGAACTGACACATTCTCCTTGAAGGAGGAGGGGGGGGGCTGAAGATAATATTTACAAAAGAAAAAAGATCAAACAGGCAAAGTGGATTTTTTTTTAAGCTTGCAGGAAGATACTAAGCTCAATAATCAGACAAGAAAGGCAATGAGCAGTTATCAAAGCAGCAGCCGTTTTAAGAGCTGCGCTCATCTGAAAGCGACTTTTAGTTCTCGGGAAAACTGCCGCCTCAACAGCTGTCCCAATTAGAGCCAGCCGGAAATTTCCCAATAAACCAACATTTTGTCAGAAAATAATTCGCTGAGTCTGAAGCGCTCGGAGCTGGCTGAACTTTTGTTGGATGCCAACGCGGGGCTGCGGCGGGGGCCGGCGCTCAGCTGGCAGCTCTGCGCCACCAGCAGGAATGGGGACAGGAAAGTCAATTTTGGGGAGCAGCTGCAGGTGCCAGGAAGCGCCTAGTCCACGTCATTTATGCCTGGGATTTGGTTTGAAAAAAGATGAAAAGGCAACTGAGTTTCTTATGAACTTGAACTCGAGCCAGGCGGATTCGTTCCTGCCACGATCCCATATGCCTGACCCCATTTTAGGAGCTGGCGACTGGATCTGCCAGGAAAGGAAAAAAAAAGGAAAAAAAAAGGAAAAAAATACTGTGGAGAGGCCAATGCTGGAAGTGTCTCCTGGCAGGAGGGGATGTTCATGGCCGTACCCAAGTCTGCCTGGCTCTGAGGCCAGCAGGTCTCCTGGGGGCTCCCCATCCTTGCAGTGGCCTCACCAGGAACCTCCTGATGCCTCCTTCCACCTCTTCTTCATTTTTGTAAGCGTAGCAAAGGCAATAGCTACAGGTGTTAGGCTTCTCAGCTGCATCTTTGAAAACTGATGCGTTACCACCGGACACCTCACTGGGCTTGTTCCAGCTGCCTCACTGCATGAGAAACTTGCAAAAAGGAGAAAACCCACAAGACTTAGTCTAGAAGATCCTGCACAAAGCTTCACACGAGTATGGAGAGATGTTAGCTAGCTGTATTTAGATTATAAATTTTAAAAGACACCACACAGGACTGTTCAGACCCCCACCACAATCCAAGGCACCTGCTGGGCCCAGAGAAGTCCCTGAGTAAAAAGCTGTGAACGCCTCGTGTGCACCCTGACCAGCAGGGAAAAGCCTTTCTGAGAGCGGTAATCACTGATTGCTCACAATAATTAACCTATAACAACAGCGAGGACTGAGGCACACACCCCATCACATGCATCTCCAAATGAAAACAAAGCCCCTTCCTTAAAAGGGATTTCTTGTTAAAAACACCTAGAAATGTTAATTTGCAACACAAGCAGAGTTTTTCCCAGCACAAGGGAACCAACCAGGGCAGTTATCAGGGCACAGAGCCCCTCTGCAGGCACTGGTCCCGCTGCCCACAAGGCCAACTGCTGTTCACAGCGGGACCCAGTGTCCCTGCTCGTGTCCCCCTGCACCCAGCCTGCCCTCTTGGAGCTGCTGCCCTCCCTGAAGCCAGAAAAACCTGCATCTACTGCCTTCCCCATCTCATCTCGCAAGCTGTGAGATCCCACCCCTCTCGCCGCCTGTCCCTGCTGACAGCCGTGCTTCCTACAGAGCAAATGGGCTTGCAACTCAGCAAGCAGAGTCATTTGCATTGATTTCCATGGCCTGGATTCTCCGCCTGGATTCTCCCGGTCCCCACAACCGCCCCGTGCCTCTGGAGCGGGAGCACCACAACCCCATCCTAGAGCTCTGCTGTGCTCCTGTTTGCTCCCAGAAAAGAGCGGTGACAGTGGCTCACACTCCCAAAAAGGATCCCTACAACAGTCAGAAGAGCACCAGCACAACAGGAAGACTGTGCAAGAAACTTGAGCGTTATTTTTTTTTTTTCCTTAGAGAAAATGCTTCTATTTTTGACAAAAGGACTTTCTGAGGTATGAAACCTCTTATGAAATTTCTCCCACGTCGGTGCTTTACATAAACTATTTTGCTGCAGTTGTGTTATTCATTGCACGCACTTTACACCCGTGTGAACCAGTTTATCGCAGGAGAGTGGAAAGTGAAGGCTGGCTGTAGGATGTCCTGCAGGTCCCAGATCTTCATCCTCTGTAGTCATGCTACAGAGCGAGAAAAGGGTCTCACCAGCACAAACATCACCACTAGCCCTGCAGGAGCAGGGTGTAAATGGGCCAGGAAACACCACTTGGATGCACTGAGCCACAGCCCCTGCCAGTGGAAGCTGCAAGGGCAAGCAACATCGCACCAATGTGCTCCTGAAGAGCCCGTGGCTGCCGAGCACGGTGAGAAGACATCCTCGGAGGGATTAGCAGGGTGAAGAGTCCATCCACCGCATTAGTATCGCAGCCTTAGTTTTTTTTCTCTGGGCCTGAGATGTCAGGGCTGATAGCGGCGCAGTTTGTTTCACACCAAATGTACAGCGATAGGTCAGGAGAACAAGTGAAAATGCCACCTTTGAGGGGAATTGGATCATTAAAATGTCACAGCAGTATCTTGGGAAGCCAACCGGAGATTCCAGCTGCAACTCCTTGCTCCCTCTGCTAGGAAAAATAAATAACACCTGCCAAGCGAGACCAGGCATTTCTTTTCTAAAGAGATTACTGTTTTTTTATATCACTATTTTTTTCACACCATCCTGCCAGCCAGAGAGTCGTGAGCTCATTTTCCATTGTCACAAAGTTCGGTTTGGGGGGAATAAAACCTCTTCTCCAATCTGGGACTAATAGGTGAAGGCTACGTCCTGGGGATAGTGCAGAAGGGAAACGTGCACACCACTCTGTCTCCCATCACATCAGAGAAAAATTAATGGCAGAGCTATGATGGGATTTATTCCCTTTTCTAGCTTTTCATCATCACTGCTTTTTTTTCAAGCAACAAATTGCCTCCTTCTTTCTGCTCCCCCCCATGCCACGTTTCCCACCACGGCTCAGGTCACCCAGGATGGAGGTACAGAGCCAAAAATATCTCAGGGCAGCACCCAGCTCAGTCAGGCTGCCCTCAGGCTCCCTGATCCATCCATCTGGTCATAGGACAGCTGATGGCAGCTGCTGCCACCTCTCCAGACCTTCCTCTGCTTCCCTCTCCTGCTTTCCCTCTGGAGGAGCAGCTCCAAACCTTCCCAGATCTCAAAAGACTCAGGCTCTTACAGTGGCCACCCCTCTGCCCTCCCTCCGTGCTGTGCTTTGGTGCCTAATTGTTCTAATAGTTTCCCAAAGCCCCCATTCATCTTCTGCCGTAATTCAGGTCTTTGTTCTGCACTGTGGAGCAGAGAGAGTAAAGCAGTGTGAGGACAATGACAAATCAGACTCCGAAGGGCAGATGACTCCTTCCCTTTGACCATGCACACAAGGAAAAATCAGAGCTACCTGGTCTATTGTTTGTCAACACCCATCTGGTCCAGGCGAGATAATAACCACAAAAGTACAGAGCTGGGGCACAAAGAATGGGGAGGGAGCACGCTATTGTGGCTGCCTGAGTGGTTCCACCACTGGCACAACAAAGCCTTTTGTCCACTGATTTTTTTTTTCCTTGCAGATTACTTTATTGGTTACCTTCTGTGTTTTCCCTTCTCTTCCCAAGCATCTCATTACTAAGTTTTGAGGAGGTTTCCAGAATTTTAGGGCTGGCCTGGAGAGGGCCATTCAAAGCCAGGGCTTTCTGGAGCTGAACCCCCACTTCTCTTTGCCCTGGAGCTGGACCACATCCCTGGAATTCATTGGGACAAATTTTTAACTCTTTTCCCAGTACTCGGGATAACCGATGTTCAGCCATAGATTAGCCACTGGGTTCAACCATCTGCAAGGTGATCTCTGTGCTGCAGGATGGGCCAGTGAAGCCCCAGCTCATCCTTTCCTGTCCTTGATTAGATGACGCTATGATTTTCTAATCAGGAGAATCACAGATGGCAAATAAATGAAATGGTGAAAAAAAACAAATTAATATTTATTTATGCTAAAATGCATCATCACTTTTATTTGCAACATAACCATGCATCAGAGAGATTGAACTTTGCTGACTGGCTCAAGCCCTTTGTGCAGGAAATAAGCTAGGAAGATTTGGAGACAGGCCATACAAGCAGGTTCAAGGCGGAGAGACACCTTAAGAGCTGAATATATTCACATCTGAGGCTTTGATTTTCCAATCCTACTCCTGGTGATTACAAGGAGGAGAGAGAGGGATTGTTTAACTTTGAAACTCCAAAATGGCCTCGGTGTCCACAAAGGTTTTAGAGAGCGCTTGCAACACAGCAAGAGCCAGGGATTAAGCTCTAAATCCATGTTTTGTCCCTGAAAAGCTGTCCTGATCACTAATAAAGTGAATTCTCTGCTCTCAAGAAATATTTATCTACATCATTAAAACTCCCTGCTATTGTTGGGCACGACTGGCAGCCAGCAGCCGGGAGCAAAACCGTAAAAACCCTTTGGTGTGAGATGGAAGTGCCCCCGCTGAGCAGAGCAAGGGCAAGGGAGGATGGAAAGAGCTGGGTGTTGATGGGGTTGGAGGGGCCTGACAGCACCATTAGCAGCCCCAGCCAGGACAGCAGGGAAGCTGGGGTCAGGGCAGAGCTGCAGAGGGAGGCTCAGAGATGGCAGCTCCGAGCACCCTGCTGCCCCCATGGAGCTTTCATCAGTCCCTCCTTTATGTAAATCTCATTTACTTCAAGTGCTGCTAACTGAGAGCTGCAGCCTGACAGCACTCTCAGTCGGCTTTTGCGAAAAGCAGCACTCTGCAGAACAGGCTCCTACAGATCCTTCTGGGGTGGAGAGCACCGAGGTGCTACAGGCACCGCTCCTGCAGCCTGTGGACTGAGCTCGTGTGCCACATGAGATGTCTCAGTACACTCTGGAGTCATCCAGTCTGATTTTTGGAAATGTTGCCGCTCACAGAACCCATGCTCAAGTGCACTGCACACCCCACTGGTCACAAGAGGGTCCTGGCATGGCAGCACCCAGGTGCTCTGCGTGGAGCAAACATCACCAAAGGCACTCCAGGAAGCCCTAAGTCAGACACTGAGCAACAGGCACACATCTGAAGGGCACAGAACTGGTACCACATTAACCCCACCTTTCTGGGCACATGTACATCATGTTGCTGCTCCACACCTCTCAGCTTCTGCTCAGGAGCAGCTGTACTTGGAGGTATGAAGAGAAGAAAGCACATCGTGCCTTTGTCCGCCGTGCTCAGCACAGCTTGTCCATGCCAGGTCACATCCTGCAGCCGTGGCTTCGCAGCTCCCTCAGCCCCCAGAGCCATGACTCCTCCAGCTGGAAGAGCTCTTACGTGGGGATGAAGGGCCCCAAGTCCAAGTGTATAATTGCATGAGGTAGGGAAAGGATGGACAAGGATCCAGGGCTCACCTTCTCTTCTAACGCAAGCTCACCAGTGGACATGCAATGAAAGAGGGAAAAACAGACCCAAAGCCTAGCTGAAAGTTCTTCATGCCACAAAGCAGCAGGAAAACTCCTTTCTGCAGGACATGGACATGGCTGTTATGAGTTTACAAAGCTACTGGACCAACTCACAGCACAGCAGCAGGAAATCCAGTGAGAACTATTAAGCACAAGGGCACATCTTTTACTGGCAAATCCCTGAGCCACAGATTGCTGGAAGCTGAGAAAGAACCCCAGGGAAGCTCTGCAAGATGCTTCCTATAATCTTAGGCTTTCACTGTCATGCATCTGCTGTTTGACTGCTATCAGAAACTGGATACTCTTGCGACAAGCATTTTGGCTCTCCCAGTATATCAGCTCTTCTGTGCCCATAAATTGTGAGCACAGGAATCACCTGCACTAAAGCTGGGCTAAGTTTTTGAATACCTGCCTTCTCCCCACACAGAGCTGGGCAATAACTTCTCAGCAAATTACTTATTTACTTTATATACATGCAATTTCCAGGCACCCAAAGTGATGCAAAAATTCAGGTCAAATTCCCTGAATAGCTTCCACCACCAAAAAAAAGCAACCACCGCTCTGAAGGGTTGGGCAGATCACATGGAAAAGGGTTGGAGTCCTTCCGAAATGCCTTTTTTTTTTTCCTTGCTGTTTCCAAAAAAGCTTCTATTTCAGGCACTGTCTATATACGCCAGCAAGAGGCTCCCTGCAAGCATGAGAAGTGCAGACCCAGTTCCCTGCCCTCCCTGGGGTTACGTGCCCCCACAGCTCCCTCCTCACCACTGCCGCAGGACCTGCTCTCATCCTGCTGTGGCCAGTGCAGTTCTCCAGAGCTGCCCTGAGCATCAATCTGGTTGGGAAAGGGTCTTGAACAGGCAGGAGCTGATGCCAGCTCTGACATTGTATTCAGTGGCTTCTGCTCCCTGGGGATGCCAGCTGAAATAGCACCTTGTGCCTTTGCCCTGTGCCTTAAAGGCTGACTTTCTGTGCCTGAGTTTAGGTGCCAATTGATTCTTTCACCTCTGAAGGAAAGTCAACCCCAAATGACCACCTCATTCCAGGCAAAGAAAGAGATGCAGGATTTCAGGCAGGTGTCAGGGTCCAGATAAGTGTTCAACCCACATCCTGGTGGTGGCAGTGCACCAGCTTCTCCTTACACAAACAACTCCACTCGCAGACCTTTGGGTGCCCCCATAGACAATATTTAGGAGGCTGCAGAATCAAAGCCCCCAACCAAATTGCCAACATGATTTTCACTTTGAAATGAAGTCAGCACAACACAGCTTTCACAGATGGCACATGGCATCTCCAAACTGGGAGTCTCTCACCAGAAGCCCAGCCCTTCCCAGGCTGAAATGTCTCTCTAAAACCCCAGTTCAGGCTTTCTGATATCCACAGGAGCTAACATTGTCCAGGTCTGATTTTCACAGAAACCATGAGCACTTATGATGAGAATACTGTGTAATAAGCACAGATATCTAGCTATGAGGGAGCCTTCCAAAGTATTTTGGCTAAGGTAACACACTTTGATCCAATTTTTGGGAACAAATTGTTTCTTTGATCCAGATAATATAATGCACAACAAACATGGGGTTGCTTTTGAAAGCAATTAAAGATTTCTCTCATCAGATCATGCATCCATCCCTCTCCATGACCTCTGCAGGTGCTGCCCCCCACAGCACACAGGGTAAATCCCTTTCCCTGGGCAGCTGTAGGGGGGACCGTCACCCCTTGCAGGGAAAGGGCATCTCTACCAAGCTGTTTTGGGGAGCAAAGCAGCATTAGCACACCCTGACTGCATTAAACTCCCGTTAGTTGGCAGAATGCTTCATGAAACCTTCATTTTTAGAAAAGTGTTTTCTCCAACTAAATTCCGCCCCATTTTCCTCAGGCAATAAATGAATTTTGTTTACAAAGTATTTCAACACGACTTGAAATTTCATTTATGGAAAACCGGTCTTAGACTTCTGAGGCATTTGAAACCATGCTGAAATATGGCAATTTCAAGCACTTACCTGTCTCCTTCCCGCAAGTCTCCGAATCAAAGGTTGCCATGACAACGAAGCCCACTCTCAGTCCAGCAAAATGAATTGTTTTTAAGTGACGTCATTATTAGCCAGGACCCAACAAAATTACGCAAACGAGCTCCCCAGACAGCAGGGCTGCAAAAAGCCCAAACAAGCAGCAGAACAATTACACTCCAAACTTAGCACAGGAAGGGAAATGTCACCCAAATCCTACTCATTAATTCTTTAAAAACCCTATGGAGGATGCCAACCTCCTCCCAGCACCCCTGATGGGGTGCAGAAGAGGAGCAGTGTTGCTCTGCCACAGGCTTGCTTTCCACCCTGGGACATGGCACAGCCACCTGCACATCCCAGCAGACAGCCACTGGTGTTCCCAGTACTCAGGAGTTGGTTTGTGTTTTGCTTCTCCTCACCACCCTGAGCTCCTGTGACCATCACATAACCCACCCAATGTTCCTACCCCAGTACCCAGACTTTGTACATCTCTGCTCCTCACCTAGGCCACCACACTGCCTCCATGAGATAACAAACCTCCAGGAATTCCCCTGCCCAGGACCATTTACAAACCCCACACCTCTGGAGCAGAGCTCTCCCAAGCCAGCTGCTTAGAGAGATGCCTCCCTTTATAACCACAGTCACCTGAATCCAATCCTCTCCTCCTCAAGTGAAGCCTTCCAACACCAGTTGCTTGAGGGGTCACACTCGGTAACGAGTATATTCTGGCAGCAGCTGTTCTCTGGGAGAGGGAGAAGAAAAAGGAATTGGAGTCACTCAGTGCTGCATCGCTATAGATGGTCACTCAAGCTTAATAAATCCTCCTTATCAACCCTGTCTCAATGCCCCTCATAATTTAAGCTGGATGTAATAAGGCAGTGTGAAGGTAAAGGCCAGCTTTACAGTCAAACTGGGGATTACAGTCTGGCGCAGATACTTAAAGATTCACAACAGCAAGGAGGAATTGTAAGAGGAGCGATCGCCAACCGCATGAAGTTCAATAAGAGCAAGTGCCGGGTCCTGCACCTGGGACGGGGAAACCCTGGCTGCACGTACAGACTGGGCGATGAGACGCTGGAGAGCAGCCTAGAAGAGAGGGATCTGGGGGTCGTGGTAGACAGCAAGTTGAATATGAGCCAGCAGTGTGCCCTGGCAGCCAGGAGGGCCAACCGTGTCCTGGGGTGCATCAAGCACGGCATCGCTAGTAGGTCGAGGGAGGTGATTGTCCCGCTCTACTCTGCGCTGGTGCGGCCTCACCTCGAGTACTGTGTGCAGTTCTGGGCACCACAGTATAAAAAGGACATGAAACTGTTGGAGAGTGTCCAGAGGAGGGCTACGAAGATGGTGAAAGGCCTGGAGGGGAAGACGTACGAGGAACGGCTGAGGGCACTGGGCCTGTTCAGCCTGGAGAAGAGGAGGCTGAGGGGAGACCTCATCGCAGTCTACAACTTCCTCGTAAGGGGGTGTCGAGAGGCAGGAGACCTTTTCTCCATTAACACCAGCGACAGGACCCGCGGGAATGGAGTTAAGCTGAGGCAGGGGAAGTTTAGGCTGGACATCAGGAAGGGGTTCTTCACAGAGAGAGTGGTTGCACACTGGAACAGGCTCCCCAGGGAAGTGGTCACTGCACCGAGCCTGACTGAATTTAAGAAGAGATTGGACTGTGCACTTAGTCACATGGTCTGAACTTGGGTAGACCTGTGCGGTGTCAAGAGTTGGACTTGATGATCCTTAAGGGTCCCTTCCAACTCAGGATATTCTATGATTCTATGATTCTATGAGCCTAAACAACCACCCTCGAGTGCCAGAGATAGGCTGATGAGTTACAGACCTTTCCAGCACAGGGCTGTGCTGATGTATAGCTGAGCTGGGATCCGACCAGAGACTTACTGCTCCTTGTGCAAATGCAAAACCCATGTGTGCTGAAAAAAATTGCATGTTAACTTTAGAGGAGGTTTCTGTCTGTACCCTATGTATTTTTATCTCCCTCTTTTATTTATTTTTTTAAATCATGAACATTGCACGATTTTTTTCTTTTTCTGAATAAACTCAGCAGTGCTATTATGTCTCCTGTTCTCCCCCATTCCTCACAAAAGCCTAAGAAATACCTTTTCCCCTGTAAGCGGCTCGCTAGGCAGCATGGAGCAAGGAGCTTTTTCTCCCCGATTGCCTCATTACCAAGCCAGCCCAGCCCAGCCCTTCACAGGCCTAAGCCTGAAGTTTATGGCACCAGATCAGAAGAGGAGTTTGTGGTCTTGAAAGCCTGGCTTCTTTTCCCTGGCTGTGCTATCTGGGTAATAAAAAAAATATTTCTTCCTACCAGCCTTGCCTCACTTACGTCCTTAGACTATCACGGCTGCAATACCACCTCTGCTGAAACCACTGCTGTCAATTCCTAGATTGCTATTTATCAGGGATCCCAAAGTGCTTTTATAAAATGCCTAATGCTCAGCTAGCTCCAACGCCTCTCCCCTTCGAAAGGAAACCACCCAGTGCTGTTTTTCAAACGTTTTTTCTCTGGGAGCTGAAAGGGTGGCTCTCCCACTACCAGGAGCTTTCGTGTGGTCGAAACCCATGCCCACAGCTCCGGGCACATCGTCTGACAAAGGAATGTGAGCATCCACAAATGGACCTGAGCAGGTCTGTGCTGGGAAGCAGCCTGTCCTGCTGCTTGGGCTGCTGCACCTGTACCCCTGACATGAAAAGGGAAGGTGCTGGGGGCAGGCAGGAGAGAAGCCGCAGCCACTTTTTGCCACCTCCAGTTCGCAGGAGCGAGTGCTTCAGGTGCCAAAGCCTGGGACCCCCCACGGGGCCCCCGCGGCCTGCCAACGTGTGAAAGCTTAAGGGAGAGTGAATCCCAGCAAGCCACAAATCCATCAAGCGCAAACGTTCTCCGTGGAGTGGGGCGACCGCAAAGTCTCAAATCATGTTCCTGCTGACAAGCTGCTGATGGATGAGCTCGGTCAGGAGGAACCGGGCTTTGCAGGCAGAAGTGCCATTCACTCGCAGGCAGCAGCACAGTGATGGGAGAGCCCCACGAGTGGGAATCCTGCGGTGTCAGACCTACTCACATTATGGGGAGAGGGAAGCAGAGCTGAGAGCTCCTTCCACAGGGGGAACCCCAAGCTGATGTTGGGGTTTTTGATCCCATCACCCAAATGCATGAATGCTAACTCTGGCCGGCTTTGGGGCTCTTACCCCATGCCAGGGGGAGGCTTCTGGAATAGCTACAGAGGCTGAGGACCCTTGAAGGGCAGAGGAAGAGCACTGCATCCCAGGGGACATTTTCCTTCATCCGGCTGAGTGGGGCTCTGGGCTGTGTGGCTGTCCGGGCACAGGGGACACATTTATCTGCTCCCAAATGTCCTTCACTGCAGGAGCCGTACATCAACAGTTCCCCCTCTGAGCGCTGCTGTGGTATAAGCACCTAATAATAAAAGCTGGCTATTGCTTCCCTAAGACACCTGTCAGCCGGAGTGTTAAGTGCCAGGGTAATAAATACTTGCTCTGCTATGCCTCTTCTTTGCGAATTCTCCTGGCTCTGCCTGTTTTCATTAGTATTTCTTTTCTGTGGACACTGCAATTACACTCTGTTCCTCTTCAGGGCCCTTGTTCCAGGTTCAAATAGAGAAGTGATAATGCAGGGAAGCTTTTTACATCGCTGTTTATTTTTGTCTCCTGAGTCAGGAAGATCTTTTCAGGCTGGGTCCAACCCTGTGCAGTTCTGTTGGAGGGAGGACTCGGGGAAAGGGGTGAAGGCTTCAGGTCCCAGCTTTTGTCATTGAAAACATAGCAGGATTCTTCCTCGCATGCTCTCGACGAGGTCACAGGATATGCCCCTTCCTCGGGAAGACATAAGTATGCAGCCTGTACCGCCAAGACCCGTGATAACCATCCATCTGCCACGGCAGCTGCGAGCTGCTGCTCCCAAGCCTCCTCTGTCTTCCGAGTCTCTAAGCGAGAGGGAGGATTCAGCTGAAAGCAGCAAATTCAAGCGTGCAACTTTCCTGCTCAAGGTTGCAGTATGTTTGGAGTTATTGTCCCACAGGCAAGTCCCTGGTTCAGCTTCCATCTGGTGCTCAGGGAACCCAGGGAAGAGGGGAAGGAATTTCACTCCTTCAGGAGTGAAAAACAGCTGGCTATGGCACTGACATTATTTCCTTCTCCTGCTTTTTCCCACTGGTAATTGGAGGTCCAAATGAAGTCCCCACACCTTAAACTTCCTCACTAGCAAACAGCACAGCCCCCTGGCCACACACGGCTGCTGGCTGAGTGCCATGGCACGGTCAGCTAGGTGCTATTAAATCTCCAGAACCAGGATTGCCACAACCAAAACTCCCTGCTGCAAAGGTGTCTGGACCAGGGTGAATCCTAAGTCATGCCTGGAAGCTGTGTGGGTGACCAAAGCGATGCTGGCAGTCGTTGTAGCAGCTGAGCAGCGCAGCAGTGTGGGTCGAGCTGCCCCCAACCTGTCCTTGGTATGTGTTTCCTCTACCACATGGCCACTGACATTTGGGTTGAGGGCCTCCCATGTCCTTCTTCCCACCAGGGTCTCTGTAAGGGATGATTCAGCTGAAGAAGTGTACATGGTGGGTGGCATAAGCCCGGGTTTTGGGCAAGGCCTCTTCTGGTCACCCCTAGAGTGGCAGAAAGCTTTGTTCATGTTGTACACGGAGAAACGCCAGAGAATTTTACTAAAAAAACCCACAAAGTCTAACCACAGGCAGCACTGGGGGGAAGAAGCACACCCCCAGCTCTCCCCCTGTCCACCTCTCACACCATCATCCGAGCTTTGGGGCAGACCCCCAGCTCCCCATCCAACCGGCCTCAACCATATCTTGTGCCCACCGCTCCCCTACCATTGGAAAGGAAATATTTTAAACACGATATGATGGAAATTAGGGAATGTTTTCTCCAGGAATACTTATTTTTTCCCAGGTAGCTTTCCTGCTCACCACTGGGACAAACTCTCCAGCTGTGCAGGTACCTGATGCCCAGAGAGCTTGCTCCCCATCACTTGCCTTTGAGAAACAGACCCTGGAAAAAAAACAATAGTGCAGTGCTTTTTTAAAATATGATTTTTTTATTTGTTTTGATCAGAGTTCAAGAGAGTGGGTAGAGTGGAAAAGCGGAGTGATTTAGTTCAGTGAAAAGGTCTAGTCCTGCCTGGTGTGTTAGGCCAGGAGGCTGGTAGGTGGTCAGAAGAGTCCTCCTCATCCACTCAGCTTGTCGATGTTGTTCATGTTGTTCTGGTTTCTGATGTTTTCTAATCTCTCTTCAGAACTTCACTGTAAATTTTTGAGACATTTTTCTGTTGCTTTAACTCACTGAAAAAGCTAAAAGCTGAAAAAAATTGCAGGACTCAAAATCCTGCCAGTTAGAATGGGCTTTTTTTTTTTTTTTTCCAGCAAAGGTTGAAAAATACGATTCAAAAATACAAACAGGCATTGAACAGTGCACCAAAAAGCATTTGAAACACAAATCTCAGAAAGAGAGAGAGGGAAAGAAAGGGAAAACACTGAGAGAGAAAGAGAGAAAGAGGAAGGTCACAGTTTCCATGAGAAATCCCTTAAGAAAGTGGCTACCAGCTAGTCAATAGAGAAAATAAAGTCAACAAAAAATTAAAAACTGTATTTTTTTTCTAGTCGTTAATTATTTACAGCTGTAATAACAGGATTGTCATGCATCAAATTGCTGCCAGCTAGATTCTTTCTCATAGTGAAGTGAAGAGAGTCTCACAAGATGGCAAACAAAACAGAAGACGTACCAGGGGCACGGATTCAACCTGAGGCAGTGAAAATGAGCGTATTTTCTGGCATTTTGTTGCAACGTGTTCTTTCTTTCGATGGGCTGCCCTAGTGTGATGTTAATGCAATTCTCCCCAGTGGTGGATGCCAGGGCTCCAGCAAGAGAAGCAGCAGGCACCTTCACTGACCCAGAGCCAGCTGACAGGGAAATTCTTGACATGGGGGTACTTGTGAGGAGCCCTTCGACTCCAAACACACCCTCACAAAGGCAATGTGACAGATGCTCAGGTTTCCCAGCTCTGCTCTTTTTTGCGGTTGCAAAAAACCAAATTGTTCTATATATGATTGCCTTTATGTTTGCTGGGTTCCCTGCAAAGAGACAGGAGGAACTGACAGACTTTTCAGAGGAAACAGAGAGCTGCCAGCAGTGTAACGTGAGCCAATGGACTTATAAAGTTGACAGGACCTTCAAGAAGCAGGGGAGAAAAGAGCCAAGAGCCGTCGAAGACAGCGAGAGCATCCTGACTCACATAGCAACCTGAGGACCGGGTTTCCCTCTCCAGGCAGACAGGATCTTAAAAGTTGCTCTGCAGAAGAGGCTCCTACCTGCGTCTTTCCTCTGGCCATCAGGATCCAGGCAGGTTTTGTGTTCCCTCTTGAAGCATGCTCAGGGTGGGGACCTCAAAACTCCTCATGATGCTCAGCCACACACCCCCTGGTTGCACTGTTGTGTGGGGCTAATGGCTCGTGGGATTCAGCTGTTGAAAAAACAAAGCTGCCTCCCTGGGAACATCCTAGTGTCTGGGGCAGGCATAAAAGGGCTGAACTGGAGAATTTGTGATGTGTGGCACTAAGTTTTCCCAAAAGGTGCTGGGTGGTGCTGCCAGCAGTGACCTTGGTCCCAGGTCCCAAGAGAGAAACTCTTCTCCTTTGTTCCCCTTGTTCCCTGTGCCCCCCAGACCTCCCAGAGCCACCTGAGCACCAGCAGAGATGGATGAACCTCTTCGCAGAAGATTTAGCAAAGAGAATGAGAGGGAAGTGAAACAATTTAAAGCTGCCATTTTCTCTTTCAAAGAGAAAAAGCTTGACTTTTAGATATACTTTGTGAGCATAAATATACACACACTCCCACATATATATGTAAAAACCTTGGCTGACTGAACAATTACAAGGTCAAACCGTAAATATTTATACCTTGAAGCTATCAATCTCATCTGCGCCGTGGCATCTAGCCAAAAATGCCTTCAGGGGTAGTTTAGCTTGATACAGAGAGAGGCTTGGTGAACCGTTCAAAGTTTTTCCCCCTACTTCAGCATCAATAGAGCATTTACACTGCATGAGTGTGCTTCTCGCCCTGGCTGAGCCCTCCCCACCACCAAGGAGGTCTGCAAAGCCCAGGTGGATACTTGGCGGGGTGGGTTAATGTGTGCTAGATTGCTCTGTTCCCCCAGCTGTTGCAAAGGAGCACTGCAAAGAGGCTGTTTTTATAGCAGTCTCTGGGAGAGGCAACAGCTCCGGGTTTTAGAAGGTCTCAGAGAGCTTCTCAGCAGAACAGAGGGTCCTCCCAGACAAGATGACCTGCAGCAAGAGAAATACCTTCCTGACCTGTGATGCAGCCCTATAACTCTCCCCCAGGGGGCAGCTGAGAGGAATCTAAGATGTGGATAAAAGAAATCAAGGCAGCAGATGAGAAATGGATGTACCTTGTGTCCACAGGATGGCTGCTTGCACAAACAGGCTCGTCGGGCCCTTTTTGGCATGCTGGGCTTGTGTCTGGGGTCAGCAAGCACGGGGGCTGCTCACACGGGGTGGTCCTACAGAAAATGAACCGGGTCCCCACCAGTGCCACTGAGCTAGTGGAGATCAGGAGGGGATGAGCTGTGTTGGCTTCAACAACTTGTTGTAGAAGTTAGGGAGCAGTGAAGCTGCCTTTGCTCACAGAGAGCCTGGTGCGTGGAGAAGAGCCGGGCAGCTGTGCCCCGGGTGTCACGGCCCTGGCTGGTGATGTTCAAGGAGCGTTTTCAGAGAAGTCATATGGGGGTAGCCCCATCAGCCCTTTAGAAGCACAGGTGGCACCCAGCCCAGTGACCCCTTCTCCCTGTCCCTCACACTGCAGCACTGACCTGGTGCTTGCAGCCACCACGAGCTGCCTCCCCTGACCACCTGGAGGACCTCGACTCAACCATCCCCTGCCTTCCCAAGCATGAAGAGCACCCCAAAAACACACCGATTTGGCCCATGTGTGGTCTCAGAGGAGAGCGGGGGCAGGGTGCCAGTGCCAAAACACCCACCTGGCATTGTCAGGAGGAATGCAACCGCAGGTTGGGACTACAAAGCAGGAGCACAGGCTAACAGATCGTTCTGGTCTAATTCCTTCCTGGGAGACTCTCATCAAGTCAGGGGGCTTTGGGCCTTGCAAAAAGAAAAGAAATATTGAAGCATCGAGGTTCACAGTGAAATGCAGAGCCCACTCTGTGCACAACTGGCTTTCTGTGGAGTAAACCGTCGATGGTTGTGTACAGACCAGTTATAAAAGAAGGGCCCCATAGAAGAAGGGCCCATGAGCAGCCTCGTGTTAGCTGGGAGGGAAATGTCCCAGTTTGAGCCTCTGACAGATTTTAAAAAAAGAACATTATCTTCTCTGTGATGTCTGCTGGCAGGAGATGCTAAACCACTTATTTATAACTATCTTCCCGAAATGCTTCCCTGATTGGAAGCCAAACTACAAATCCTGTTTGGTTTGTTGTCTTTAACCAAAGGATGCCGGTATTTCTGCTTCCAGCTGGCAAAAAGACTCGGGGCCAGTGCCAGGCTTTGGTGGGAATAGACTTGGCTTTCAAGGCGTGCTAACACTGATCCAGGGAGGGAGCCTTTTATCCGGCAGGGAGCAAAGTTTTCAGAGCTGGGGAGAGCAAAGATGGGCCAGCAGGTGGGTGCCACCGGCAAGCCAGCCTGGCGGACTGTGTCCTGCAGAGGAACAAGGGTCTGGGGGCAGCAGGAGGGAAGGAGAAGTGGAGAAGACAGGCAGGAGGCTCACCCTGACTGTGCAGCAGGTAGGGCTGCCCTCAGGCAGAGGGGATTTTGGGGAATGCCCAGGCTAGTGGAGGGGGCTGAGGAGGAGACTCAAGTCAGCGAAGTCACTGGATCCCATATTTAAGCTTGGCTTTGACATAATTCCGTTAGTAAACACAATATCCTCTTTGTTACCATTTTATTGTGTTTGTTTTGCTTTTTATAGGGTTTCTATTTCATTCACTTAGGCCTGAGTATTATAGTGACATGAATGTTTTATGAGATACACTTCATCTAGCTTATTTAAGAAAATGACATCCAAGTAGTCTCCCAAACAAGCAGCCTGACGGCCGGTTAGCTCAGCGGTTACAGCTGGGGAGCTGGGGGGTGGCAGCAGGGGCACCCACTGCTGGAGGGGACAGTGCTGGCATGGGGGGAGCAAAAAGGGCACAGGGGTGCAGGGCAGTGCTGGGGCAATGCAAAAGTGGCAGGGATGTCCCCCCTGCCCAGCAGATTTGGGGACAGTGCATCCTCCCTCCGCTCCTCCAGCACAATGCTGGGGTTTTCCCCTCCTCGCTGCCTGGCGGGGAGCCCTTGGGTGAAAGGCACTGTAGAAATGTCGCAGGTGGTTTGGGGTGCGGATGGCATGGCTACAGCTGGTTTCCTTCCCATCTGCTTGGGGGATGTGCCACGTCTCGCCCCACGCTGCCTGCTGGTGGACGGGACACGCCGGGGGCTGAGCTGAATGTCTCCGAGCTCCTCTCCTTGTGCGCTGCTGCTGAGCTAGCAAGAGAGGTGAGGGACGGGCAGGACATGCACCAACAACACGCACGCTGCAGGATGAAGCATCCTGCCCTGCCCCGCTCCTTCCTGCCGTCCCCATGGATATTCCAGGTGGGGCGAGTCCTGCGCCTCGTGCTCAGCCCCGCTCCTGCGCTGGCAGGGGGTGCCAAGCTCGGCGCAGAGGCTCAAAGCAATGCTGAAGACATCAAGCTGGGGGTGCTGGGGCCCCGAGCTGGCTGCGTGCACCCAAAATGTGCAGGGGGCAGGTGGAGGGGGCAGCCAGTGACCAAGGAAAGAGGTGGCGCATCCCGCCCCAGGAGCAGGGCTGCTGGCAGGATCAGTGCCACTTGTGGGATGGGGATGAGCACTCAGACAGAGGACATTGCTCCTTGCAGCAGGACAGTGTGTCCAGGGGTCCAGGCACCAGGGAGGGGTAGGAGGGACAGGGTTTGGATGCCACCAACTTGTGCTGCTGCTGGGAAGGGGGCAGCTGCTGGTTTGGGACCCTGACTGAAGGGCCATGAAGAGAGAAAAAGCCTCTCTCCGAGGCGCTGGAGGGCTTTCTTGGATGAGTTTGCAGGTATTAGAGCTGTGTCTCATCTCAGCGGGTTTGTGAGATGATATCTGGTCACACATCTCCCTAGGACAGCAGTATCACCACCACTACCCCATTTCAAAGATCCCCTTCTGCTGTTTTCCCCTGGTGATGAGGATGCTCAGCTGCATTCACAGGGGACAGGGGGGTTCTTGGGGACTGACTGGAGCCCCAGGCACCCCCACAGGTGTCAGAATAGTTCCCGATGTGCTGGGGCAGGAAAGGGCCTGAACCAGCACTGCTGCTGCTCAGGTGCACGAGAGCAGGAACGCACCATGAGCTGGATGTCCTGGGGTTGTGCTCCTCCCTGGCAGCGTGGCTCCCCTGGGAGGCAGGGGCTTCTCTGCCTAAATCCACCCACAAGCAGCGAGATATTTGTTACTGGGGGCTGCACAGTAGCCAAAGGAAGATGAATTGGGGAGCAGAGAAGTCAAGAAGGAGAAGTGGATGGGGCCAAGAGAAAGTGATAAACCATCTGTCTGAGCTCTATGGCTTCCTGATGCTGAATGCATGTGGCCTCACAGCTCCTATCTCCTCCTAGGCATTAGAAAGCTTCAGTCTTGACCTCAGTCACTCACTGACCCTGGGAAAAATGATTTCTCTGGTAGGAAATATCCCATCCTCTAACACAAATTGCCCCAAGAGCGCAGGATGTCAGACAGACAAGACCTTTCTCACCTGTTCTCATCTGGGGAGAAGCATGGAGGAAACCAGCAGCTGGGCTTGGTTGAAGCAGCTGGTGAAGACAGAGGAGGAAGCCTGGTAGATACCTACAAGGTGCTGTCACCCTGTTCCACACCTGCCATGGTTCTACCAGCCCCTGGCAGCTAGGGACTCACCCCAGCAGGCAGTGGGCTAGGAGCTGGCCCATGCAGCACCACTCCCTCTCCAGAGCAGCTCCCTGCCCCTAGGGGAGCACAGCCTAGCACAAAGCACCGGGCACTGAAAACCAGCCCAGAGACTGACTCTGGAGGCCTCCACATCCTTGAGCCCATGCCACCAGGAGTATCCACCACGCTAGGGCAGTCCATTGCAGAGGAGGAGGAGGGAGGCAGCCCCCAGCAGAGAGGAGCGTGAGATGGCAGTGGCATGCAGACCGTGGAGGAGGAGAGATGGAAGCACAGGGTGACTTGGGTGGGTGGGGACATCAGATTCACGATGTTAGAGGCACAACTTGTTATGATCCTTTTTTTTTTTTTCCTTTCATCATCAAAGAAAAACCAAACCAAAATAAAACAAAACTAAATGCATACGGGATTAAATTAAAATCACAGTTTTGTGTACATTATAAAAGAATTATCTAATAGTAATTTCAAATGAACAATAATTAAACAAAACAGGAAAGAAGAAAGCCCTGGAGAATTCCTGCCTGGGTGGTGCTCACTGATGGAAGGTTTATTGGACTGGTTTTATTGTTTGGGGATCATTCCTTTGATAGCTGACTCCCGGTTTACATAGGTAGCCCAGTAGACTAAGTTGAAAATGGCAAAGAGGACTGGAAAGACGATGCGGGACATCTTGTCTACCTTGCTGACGCTGTTGTATGTCTTCTTACTCTCTGGGAGCTTCTCCTCTAAGCGGGGCATCTTGGGGGGCACGTTGGTGGCCGTCGCAGTGGCAGCAGCACTCTTGGAGATGGTGGGCAGGCCGGGGTCCTTGGCAATGTTGAGGGCATATGTGGTGCCAACTATGTTGTAGGTGTTGTTGGTTTTCTTCGCTAGTGCCACCGGTTCTTTTTTCTAGGGAAGGTGGAAGAAAAACACAAGAGAGATGAAGTGACTGTAGAATTGCACAGAGAATATTTTGTCCTCTGAGTTTACCTGCCTGTCTGGATGAGAAGATGGAAAAGGGTGCGAGGAGCAAGAGACCGAGAAGGCAGCATTGTGGAAGGGAAGGAAGATGTGGTGAGAAGATGGCCAGAACCCATGACATCTGCCACATGAGGGCAGCTGGAGCAGCGGGATGTTCAGGTCTAGGGTCTCCTTCAATTACACCGGCTGCTCCGTGTAAGCTTGGCACAGAGCACAGAGGTCCTGGACTGGCAGCTAGTTGTTAGGCATGGCTGCAGGTCAAATAACTGAAGCCACGCAGCTGGGTTTACAGTCTCCATGCAACCTCTTAGATGAGAGCAGAGGTATAAAACGGTGTGTGCAGCTGCACTTGAGCAGTAGCTGCCCAAGATGGGTGACTCCTTGACTGGCTGAATGCTGCCAAGTTTGTGCTGTATACTGATAGGCCAGTACAAGCGAATGCAAGCTCAAACTACACACGGACTCCTTGACTTCTTGCTCAGCTCGTTCTGTTTTCTGTTGTATGTAAGGTTCAGCCACAGAGAGACGAAGCAGGAACGCATTCTTTAGAAAAGCATGAGACCCAGTGTGGTCATCTTAGGGGAAGAACTTGATTTTATGCTTAGCCGGTCCAATTCCTGAATCAGGTGAGAGGAGGAGACATCACAGATGATTTTTTTAACATTTTTTTTTAGTCAGAAAACCAGTGGCCTTAAGAATGTGGGTGACAGCACTGCAATGCTTTTGAACCATGATACTGAAAGGCCATATCTTACACTGCCTCAGTGCCCTGAACGTCTCACGTGGAATACCTCAGAATTTAACGTCACGACGTCCACAACGCCTCTGGGATGTTTTAGTTCATCTCATGACCTACCCAGATAAGATACAGAACAGACAGAACAGATTTGCAGTAGCTCTGGTTTTCAGAACTCCAGATGCTATAAGGGCAGAGGGGAGCCTTTCATCTTGCCTTCATATCTAAGGGTTGCTGCAAATCAAGGGAGAAAAGTGCAGCCCTCCCCCAGGGCTCCAGGGAGAGCAGAGCTGTCCTTGCTGAGGGTGGAGAGCTTGCACAGGAAATGGAAAAGACACACTTGCGTTTGACATGGTGCACTAAAGGATGAAGGAGGATGCTTAAGACAGACAGTTCCGATGTTAATGAAGATGAGTGGATGGGAAGACAGAGCTAGAGAGTCATGATGGATGTTTCCCCACCCCGGGGATCTTCCTGTTGTTGTCAGGGACTTGAGACCAGCTGCACCATAGGCCATGTTGTATGAAGCAATCTAGGTCTACCAGGAGATGCCTGTTGAATTAAATCTCTTCCTGTGCAGCTATCAGACACCCGACACAGCCCAGCACCTGTGTGTGTCTGTGTGATGTCCGCTGTAATTACACCAGGAGTCAGAGCTAGACACAGCAATCACTCACAGTGGGAATCTAAAATCTAAACTCAGAACAAGGTGTGACTTCTTATCTCATTTTCCATTCAAAAGCAACTGAAACACAAAATAACGTTCATTCAGTCATTTCCCAATGGTGCTTGGCACTGTCTTCTATGTACGTAGGCATGCAGACACCACGTGCAAAGTAAGGGCTGGGAGAAAGGGAGAGTGCACAGCCAGCAGGATGTGTTCATCTCTGCATCCTAGCCTGAGAACCAGAAAGGCTGGATTGACCATCTGACCTGCAGAGATACTCCAAGGGCTTTAGATTTCAGGCTGTACTTCCGTTGTAAATGTGTCCACAATCACCAGGGATATTTCTGGTTACCTTAGGAAATGCATTTTCCACAGCAATTTTCAGTGGGATGTTAAAAAAACAGACTTCTGCACAATCTTTCAGCCCCTCTCCAGTAACATCAGAGCTCTGAATGCAGCCTCGTAGCAACTCCAGCAATTACAGAAATTAACCTGCTCTTAGAAGGAGGCCTAAATGTCTAGAAGAGTCCGGATCTGACTAAACCACTGATCAGACCATATTCATAGTCCTCTATGGATAATATGGGAGAGGTTGTTATGATCTTTAATGATTAACTGTGTGACTGATTTCTGCAATCATTAGAGCCATGTTAGCTGGTACCCCCTGCACAGGTGAACTTTTCCTGCTAAAGAGCTGATAAGAAGCAAACAAAGGACTAAAGATGTTTCACCTAAAACATTCAAATGTGCTTTAGCATGATTAGTTATTAACATAGCTACAGGAGGTAATAAAATAATTAATAGTACGCAATGAAATGAAAAACATTGTTTGTTGTTTGCAGAATGTAATTTGAAGTGCACTGTGATTATTTGAGTATTAATCAGCCATGTTACGTGAATAAGATGACTATTAGTGACATGACATTTTCAACCTGGCTAGCTTTTCTGCCCCAGAGCTTGCAAAGTGGATCTGTCTTGTCTAGCCAATGGCACTTGAAAACAGAAGGCTGAAATTGAGGAAATTCAGGCTAACGTGAATGCTGTGGGTGTTGACAGCAAGCAATTGCTCTTATTAATGTGATCCAGAGGCCCCCAAGATTCTGCTCGGCTTCTCTGGACCTCCGATCAGGCTGTTCAGGTAGTGCTGAGGCTTGGGAGCCTACAACCAGAGACATTTTTTAGCTGTCCACAGTTGCCCTGGTCAGTGCTGGGAGCCTGGGCAGTCTTTGCTAAACAAGCAAAATACATGCTTCCCATCAGAGCACACACGTGCAAGAAAACAGGCTCCTGAGATGTCAGAAAAAATGGTTCAGCCTGAAGATACTAGACTGTGCTTTATAAATAAATGTTTTAGGCAAGGTTTTGACAATCAAATAAAGCAGAACTTGCTTATTGCTGTCAGCTGCAAAGTAGCCCTCAGCTTTAATAACCCGGCACGCTTATCTATGAGGAGTTCCATGTTGTATTGAATCAGAAAGAAGGAGCAGAAAAACAAGAGGAAACCCCATATTTACACTGAAAAAAATGGCCTAGTTAAAATGTCTATGTTGAAAAGCTATTCTTGTTTTTATGTCCCAGTTTAGGCTCAGGGAAACTGAAGCTGCTGCAGAAAGTTATCTTCCTGAGCTGCTCTCCCGAGGGAATAGCTATGAAATCTGGTCTGAAGATAAATATGGTCCCTGGATAGATACTGGAGTCTGACAAGTTCTTCCACAAACACACACAGTGGAGTACAATAGCATTTCATTACATATTCTTGTGCCCCAGACTCTCTGTTGAGGTGCTAAAGGCTGAACATCTGAAATTAGGGGACCTACTGGTTCTGCTGATGGTTTGTTGGAGACTGAGCTCTCTGCACATCCTCCTTGGCAGCTCAGTATCTTTCTTGTAGTGAGAGGCCCAAACCGAACCCAGTATTCCAGGTGCATCACTCACCCCTCCCATCTCTTCTTCATTCTGCTTATGTGGAGCTGACCTCAATGATTTTACACTCTCTGTATCTCCAGACAAAAACTCAGAGGTTTTATCACCCCCAGACACCATTTGGACAGTCTGGAGAGAAAGAGGGTGAAATGGAGTCAATGAATGTTACACGGAACTAGTGAAGATGTTGAAAGCATAAATCCTTTGAAGTGCTACGGGGAGCCACAGGTGAATGTGAATGCAGCAGGACAAAGAAGACTGGGCTGCAGAGCATGGTCAGCAAAGGAAAGAGTCACATTAAAACATATTTACCATAGTGAGGCAGAAAAAAAGGGTCTGAATCACCCTGTGAGTCTTTGATTGAAAATTGTGGTCTATGAAGGTTGGTTCTAGCTCCTCTCTGTTGGAAGGAGGGGACTGAAACTAAGATGCTATACATTACCTGGTGCAAACGGCAAGCATGTCAGACACCTCCAAAAAACAAGAAAGAAAACTCAAGGATGATAGTATCAACACAGAGGTTTGAAGGATGCTCTTTGGTGACTTTTCCTTGGTAAAAAGACATATGAAAAGCATATAGAAAGTTGGTAAATTCTAAATTGGTAGAATGGATGAAGGGGACAAAGGAAGAATAGAACCTGCCATGAGAGAGTGAACAGGCTGGGAGTGCCTGTCAGCAACCCGCAGCTTTTGCAAAATAGGGATTTCTTTTAAATAGGATGGGAAGCATTGCTGCTGCCTGAATTTGAGGTGAGGGCAGGGCTGACACTTATTGATTTATTTTTTTTTTTCTTGTTCATGCAAGGAAACAATCAAACCTGGAATGAGGGTCCTTGCCATCACATCAATAAAGAACATTCTTTTTGGCTTGGGGGAAGGCTCTCCAGAGACCAAGGCTCAGCCTGGGCTTGTCACTGGCAGTTTTACTCCTGGTATCAACACTTTAAAATGCTGATAGTTATTCTTTTGCCTCCTCTTTCTTTAGTGGTTTCAACCACCTGGCTTGTCAATTGTTTCAAGAAGAGCTAATTAAAGGCTGGAACTGAGCCAATGTGGCACCTTCCTTGCGTAGCAAATTCACTGCTTGGAAATATTCGGTGGAATAGAGATGAAAGCAAATATGGTGACGCATCATATTCACAAGCTCCCTGAAAGTCCATGACTGTTCAGGACGTTATCCTTGAATACGTGATTTCAGATGTGATTGTTTGCAGCATATATAAAAGCAAAATAGAGAGAATGAGGTAGAGCGAGAGCTTCTGAGCTGCAGAGACCAGGGTGGGTTAGCCTTTTGAGTTTGCATCAGATAAGGAAGAGGGTTGGCTTGAAAAAGAATCCACAAATTTGGAGTCCATTGCAATTCTTCAGGCTAACACCAATTGCAGCAAACTCTCCCAAGGAGCGCTTTCTCTGAAACATTTCCAGTCCTGCTTTGTTTTCTTGTTCAATTACCATGTGTGCAAACGTTCTGCCTGTTTTTACCCTATTGCTTCAGCATGGTTGGTTTTGCAGTGCTGGGTCAATAAATAAATCGAGGAAATTGCTTCTTTTATCATAAATTGAAGCTTTTAAGCCTTTGTTGCTTCTTTGGCTGTGCTCAGTTCACATAACTGCCCAAGGCTTTGTGAATCCTGACTTTGTGCTGATTTACCCATCCCTGAAAGGGATAGGGTTGCTCTGAGGACCTGCTTTGATTTTTTGTTCATGCCAATGACCTGAGAAAGATTCCTCTCATCTCTAGAGGCCCAGCTAGTGCTATTGCTAATGATGGATGTGGAAGACAACCAACAGTCCTCCTCTGGAGCCCTTCTGCCATGAGCCTGGTGCTCAGACCACAGCTGCAAAAGCAAATGGATAGAAGGAGTCCAAGAATCACAAGACAGAGGCATTCAGCACCCAGTGATGGCTATAGTTTTCCACAAGGCCTCCGTTCTTCTGCTGTGACCTCCATACCAGAGAAATGGCTGGCTGTCGTCCTCCTAAAAGTTACTGCAGTTCTGCCAGGTATTTGCATAGAGCCCCACAACAATTTTAAACAACACATTGAAATGCAAAGGAGAAAAATATAGAAGCTCCAGAACCGAGAACAAGGACAAATGTGATTTTCAAATTGATTCAATAAATATAAACAAGGAGCAGCATGCTACCGTAAGCGATTTCTCTGCGCAGCCCAGATTAAATCAGTCAGGAGGGAGGGGGCACAGGCAGGGCTAGTGATGGCTGTCAGGAAGGATGCTGCCAGAGAGGCTGATCCTGAGTAGAAGGAGAAATGTGGGTGATGCCAGGCACTAATTTACTGCCAGGTGCCGTTTCTGTTTGCTTGCTTCCCACCCATCCTCTTTGCCCGAGCATACAAAGCAGCAGCTGCCAGCAGCCGTGGGCAACAGCACCAGCCCTAGGGCCTGCCCCTCGCTGCACCATGCTTGCCCGTGCTGGGGGAGGTACTTGCTGCAGTGGACACAGCACGGTGGAACCATCTCCATTGGTGAGGCTGGCATCCCATGGTGTATTTGGGCTTGGGTGGCATGCAGGAGAGATGGAGCGGGGCATTTATGGGTTTGAGGGAGAAGAAGAAAGGAGACCACCACCAGAGTAAGAGCAAAACATGCACGCATTCTCATTCCCACCTGCAAACAGTCATGCAGAAAGGCACAGGAAAGGGTGAGCAGTCTGATCTGGGTGTTTTTCTCCAGCTGAGCACAGTGACCAGCCCTCCTCCCTCGTTCCCCAAGAACCGCTGCAGTCGAGACCTGAGCTGGGAACCCCAGTAAGTAGCACCCAGCCTCCTGGAGTGCTGTGGGGCTGCATGCTACCCACTCCTGGTCCCAGCGCAGCTCTCTCGTGCAGCGTTTCTTCACCATCCCCGGCCTTGGCCGTGGGGCTCACCTTCATCTCTTGGGCCTCCAGCACCTTCTTGCCATCCCAAGCCCAGCTGCGCTTGGTGAAGTAGTTGACGGTGGCAAATTCGATCAGCGCAGAAAACACAAAGGCGTAACAGACGGCTATGAACCAGTCCATGGCCGTCGCGTACGCCACTTTAGGCAACGAGTTTCTTGCGCTGATGCTTAGTGTGGTCATGGTGAGGACGGTGGTGACACCTGTGGGAACACAGCAGGAGGCAAGGATGCTGTCAGACCGTACATTTGCACTCACCCACCCCCAGCATCTTTGTGCCCTGCCCTTTGAGGGGAAAAGCCTGCAAGAAACCTTGTCACGGGTCACACCAGCCTGGCCCACAGATGTACTGGCCCCTTGAGAAAGGGGGGCAACTTGTCCACCACACACATGGACAGGGATACAAGAATTGAAGAAAGCAGGCTCCTGCCCGAGGTGCTTCCGTCGCATATGGATCTACCAAAAGTGATTTGGCCACAAAAGGGATATATCAGAAAAATATCCCCACTGCCCAGAGGGCAGGGAGCAGACCAGGCTTAAGAAGTGAAATTTGCTCCCCTCTCTGCCACTGACATTAAACCAGGCTTTGGTGAACCACTTCACATCTTTGTGCTTCACTTCCCCCACAAAACGCACAGCCGGCATTTCCGTCACATACTTTTGGGAGCTGTCCTCTAAGCTATGTGGCCCAGGTTCCCACTGCAATTAAGGGACCCCTAGCCAGCACAACATGCTGTAATTAAGGGACCCCTAGCCACACCAGTCCATGGTGCAATTTGCAGAATAACAAACAAGTTTGGGTTGAAAGGGAACTCAAATAGTCCAACCCCTGCTTGAGTTGGGCCAATTGCAAGGCCTTCTGTGGGCCAGTTCCAAATATCTGCAATTCATATAAACAATGGCACACACATTAGGGTAAGAGGAATCTGACCCAAACTCCACTGAATATATTTCTGCTCACTATAAAAGAGTCCTAGCTCAAAGCTGGGCACCCACATTAATTCAGGGAGTTTAATTCCTCATTTGTGAATTCCCTGACTCTAAGCCTAGCTCCCTCACATGGAGGCTGGTGTGGAGAAGCCTCTTGTTGCTACTGCAATAAAATAAAACAATAACAATAATAAGGTACAGCTAAATAGTTAGGATTTAATGGAGGAGCAGAAACTGGCCACTCTCACAATGCAGATCTCAGAATATTCTGGAAGAAGTGTTTTGTGGGCTACATGGATGAACTGTGGGACTGCAGGCCCTGCCTGCATGGCCAGGCACCCATCAGTGGCCCATGCTGCCAGAAAAAGTGTCACAAGGATTTATCTTTTAAAATAATCTGTAGCAAAATGCCTATTAAAGCTTTTTTTCATTAAGCCAAGCAACCCTTGCTATCCATTTTCCTCAATAATATGCTTTTCAATTAAAAATGCATTAAAAACATTATAAAAATATTGACTAATTTTCACTTCCCTTAAGCTATACTCCTGGTAATTGAAGAGTTTCAGTAATATCGTTGGTAATACTTTCTGAGAGGGAAAAAAAAAAAAGAATAAACAATTGGAGTTCTCATTATTCTCTTAATAGCAAAGCAAAGCAATTTGGGAGTGAAGACATTTTTCACAAAGGTAGCTTTTAATTTTTCAATCAGCTTTTTCCTGACAAATCTGTGCTGCTACTTGAGGAAACCTGTCTAATTGCAAATATCAGGGTAACATGAGAGGGAATCAAATAACCTCATAGAAGGGCTCAGCCCAGGCATCGGGAAAGCAGAGGTGCTCCAGAGCTGGTGCAGGAGTTTCTTTTGAGAAACGCTCTTTGAGGTGGTGCAGAGCTTCACATCCTTCACTTTATGATGTGCAGGTCTGCATCCTCCCCTCCAGCCTTTCCCTGTTGCAGTGCCAAGGCTCTCTCTGCCCCCCGGCAGTGGGGTATGGTGGGGTGATGGTTTGGGAATATAGATCCTGAACTCCAGGTCTTGGCAGGAAAGGACAGAGAAATTCTGTTATTATGTGTTTGCTGAAGCTATTAATACATGTGCAACGCCAGCCTGACACTTTGCTTCGGAGAGGGGGTCTGAAACCAGCTGAAGAAGATAATAACAAAATATTTACTGTGCAGCTAAACTGCTGCAGCTCAGGATCCTGTTCCGTGGAGTCTGACCAGGGGCACATTAGCAACTTCAAAGGTAGAGCATTAAATGCCTCCCCATGTGCCCACCCTCTCCTCAACTCAAAAGCTCATACAGATAAGCAGACACAGCCAAATGCATATAATTAGATGATCAATACCTTGATTACTGTTAATATTTATGGCTTGGCTTGTAGCAGAAACATGGACAGAAGTATTTTTACAGAGATTCTGTGGAAACTGGAGCACTGGAAAGACACTGAGAGCTATTATGGGAAATGGCCAGCGGCTTCACTGATGCCAGTCAAGGCTGGAGAAGACCAGCTCTGATGGCTGGTCCTTCCTCCCCTTGTTTCCCAGCCAGCCCTGAAGCCTGCCTCTTTCTGTAGCCTTTCTCTTCCCAAAGAATCATTTTCCCCTCTGAGCCGTGCTCCAAGCAGGACACGCTGACTCAACTTGTGGCAGCCTATGTGTGCTGCAGCAGGATTCTTGATAATTTAGCTTTTTCTGCCAGCTATGTATTAATAACGCATCCCAGGAAAGGAGAAACTGTCCACTGGGGTCACGAGCCAGAATCTCTCTGTAAGGCAGCAGCCTACACTGCCTCAGCTCGTCTCCTTGCATGGGGCATGGACATCGGTGTTTGGAAACCCAGACCTCACCAGCCCCATCAGCCTGGTGCCAGCTGCCTTGCAAACCCCCAGGCCACCAGGGCAAGGGGAGCTGGCTCTGGAGCATGGTGAACTTGTCCACCAAAGGGATGGTGGAGGCATGGATGGGATGGGGAGGTGAAGAGCTCGTTGCATGCATCAAATTGCTCTGTGCTGTGAATCTGGACAAAGCAATTTCCCATTGCTTGCCTTTCTCCCCTGACCTGACCACAAACCCCACATGCTCCCAGACTCACCAAAAACCGTTCGGGCAGGGACGGACTCCCTGTTGAGCCAGAAGGAGACCTGGGACAGGATGACAGTCATAATGCAGGGCAGGTAGGTCTGGATGACGAAGTACCCGATCTTCCTCTTGAGGTGGAAGTGTGTGGTCATGACGACGTACTCCCCTGCAGAGACAGCCGGTTAGAGACACAGAGCCACCACTGTGCTCCAGGATGGCACCGACTGAGCACCAGTCCCTCTCCAAAACACCAACAGTCTGTCCTGAGCAAACTTGCAAACTCCAAGATGAAATTCCAGTCTGTGAGTTGTATTGGTGCTGGATGGCACGATTTTGTTTTTTCTGACAATCCTGACAATATTTTGCCTCTCCTCACTTTAACTATCTCAAAAAAAAATCAGGGCAAGTTCTGTTATTAAAGGTCTGGGCTGTAGACCAAAGGAGCAGCCGTCTCTATTTTCCTCCAGTACCCTATTCCTTCACTCAAAGCAATGCACCAAAGCTTTGGATATTTCGCTGGGTTATTGTGCCTTTTTGTTGTGAGCGTTGCTCTGCTAAGTCATTACACGCAGGAGCCTTTAGCAGCTTTCTTGCCATTTCAGGTTATTCATCTGTACATTTTACTACAACTTAAGTAGAGAGATGGGCCAGATATTATGACATTTAGTCCTCTGGACTCCCTACATTTCCCCAAGGGAGGTGATATGAGTTGTTACAGACAGACACTATTAAAATCAAGTGCACCAGAGAGGAAATATTCTCAAATGAGAGAATTACTGGTGCATACAGAAGAAAAAAAAAAAAAAAAAAAAAAAGCAAAGAAGAAAAGAAAGATGAGAGAAACACACGAGATAACAGAAACTATCAGTACCTGAATTCAAAAAGAAAGGGAGGAGCAGCAGATGGGAGAGAAAGATGATTAATATTGGTCATTAATCAGAGGAAACATTTGTTTGGAAGAATCTTCTATTAGCTGTGATAATATTTGTGTAAGCAGATGCAGTGAAAATCACACAACATCATGTTGCATTCACCTCTCCTGCCCGCAATGCTCTCCTGACAGGCTGAAAAGGGATCCAAGACAAATGAGTCTACAGTACCAAGGACCAGCTGGGCAAGATGGGGCAAATTTTCTGCATATCGGGTCATTTTAGATGCTTGAAATCAGTTTTCTAGAAGGTACAGGTAATAAGGCTCTCTCTGTAGAACCCACTGAAAGCTAAACATCTCAGTGCCTGAAGGTCACAGCCCCAGATGTCCTCAGCCATATTCTTCAACATCACAGGGCTAGAGAAGCACCATGGTCCTCATTGCCTCCATGTACTGCCTGCATAATTACGCAAAATCATGGCACTCAAAGCCCATGGGTCTGTCTTGCCTGACAGTGTGCTCAGCCCATACATCTCGTCATGGTCCCACACGTACCTGTGCTGGATCGAACCATCTCTGTCCCAACAACATGGCCCAGCAGGTCATACTGGTTCAGGCGAGATCCACCCTTTGCTACCTCCACTGATTTATCCTTCCCCAGAGTCCAGGTGTAGATCACCTCTGTCTTTGTGTAGGCATCTGCAGAGGAGAAAGAAAAATGAGGTTCGTGCTTCTGGCTGACCTAAAATATACCAAAATTAGCCTGTAGCCTGCAGCCTCCTTGCTGTACATTCCTCAGAGCCACATGGCTGAGCACAGCCAAGCATGGCCAGAGACAAAGGCAGCTCAGCAACTGCTAATTGAATGAGCAAAAGGGAACAAGGGTTTTGGGAAGGGAGCTGGAAGGAAGATAGGGGCAGAGCAATGTTTCTGAAAAATGCTGTCGCCTTCACAAAGTGGCTCTGCAAGGGCTGGCTCCAAGCAGAGGCAAAATAGGAAGGCATCCAGGCCAGCATGGTGCTGGGGCAGCAGGACAAACACCACCCTGCCATACCAGGGGCTGGGACAGTTACGCTGTCAGCGGCTGGCAAGAGGGGTTACACACAAATGGGGTTGAATTTCAGGTTGTTTAGTTTAAAATAAATAAATGTAAAACTTTACCTTCAGGTGCAGCTGTCCCGGCCTCACAGCCCTGGAGGTGGTGTGCCCTCCCACCAGTGTGTTCTGTGCACTGTGTGACCCCATACCTGCAGGGCAGTGCTGGGAAGAGCCTGCCTGCACATTGCAGAAGACAGCAGGCAAGTGCTGCTGAGCTGCTGCAAGGGGCAGTGCTGGGCTCGCAGCCAGGGCAGCCTTCCAGCGACTTGCAAGCTCCCCTCTCCATCCTTGCCCAACACCTCCCTAAAACACACATGGTCACCATCACCTTCACAAGCCTTTGTGACCAAAACCCTGCTTGTTCCCATAACTGCTCTCTTTCCCACTTGTTCTCTCAGTGTTGCCAGTCCTCCAGTATCTAGAAATTAAGTTTCTCCAGGTTCTACTAGGGGCTACAACTCTCCATAATGCTCAAGCTTCCTGTCCAGGCCCACTCTGCAGTAATTTTCTAGGCAAAAACAAAGTTCACTACCTGCAAAGCCATTTTAACAAGTGTTTTTCATTCATTTTTACCACCAGCTTCTTGTATTAAGATATTAAGACATCTCTGGCTAGGGTCAGGCCAAGCATTGGGTCAAGTCTACTATGGAAATTTCTCAGCTCATGCTTTGTGGATGATTGTGTCCTAAAACAGCTAGATTTCTCTGATCCTTTAAAAACAACCATTGTTATCCCTGCACTGTGGGTTTTGGCAAACCTGCTAAACACTAAGCAGGCACTGTGTGAAGCAGGGGGAGTGGTTTTGATGATCAGCCAATGTTGCTCAGCATGCCACGGTGCTGCTTAAGCACTTCAGATGCAGACTGGCACTTCTCATCTGATGTGCAACACTGCTTTTCCAGCTCCTCCTTCCATCTCTCCACATGCTTCTGGAGAGCACCTTCCTCCTTCAGGCTTAGGTCTGTACAGCTCTGCCAGTGCTCCTCTGCCCTGGTGGACGGCACCTTCTGCTCTGGCAGTCACGGTTCTCCCACCACCACTCTCAGTCTGCAGAGGAAACCTGTCCACATCTTCAGCACCATCCACTTTGCTTCATACGTGAAAGTGCAGGTTTCTTCTCACCTAGTTGTCCTGTTATACCTGCTGTCATGTAGCCACAGCACGGATAATTGGAACCTATTTAATGCCAGGAATCTGTTTTAGTTCTGTTCAATGACCCACTTGCAATGCAGTCTAGTCCAATCCAAGGACAGTTCTGTAACACTTAGTGGAGCTGATTAGTCTAGCAACATCTTCTGCTTTCCTATTCTCAGCTGCTATACAAATCTCCTATGACTGGCTTAGAAACAGTTGTTCTCTGCTGTGTTCATCTATCTCTAGAGATAGTGGGGAGAGGTAAAGCCATCACCTTCACTACACTTCTGGCCCAAGGAATGAAGTGAGCACATGGTGTGCACTTGGGCAACTGTGGCTCTCTGAAGTAGCTGATCACCCTACTTCTCCTGCAAGCTCTCTGCTTTCCCACTCGGGGTGCATGCCATGGTGGCACAGGGACAGGAGGCCTCTGATAAGCCATTCAGCTTGTGGGGATCACTTGTCACCAAGGCAAATTTAGCTATCCTTTGAACAGCACGTCTGGCACTAGCACTGCCCTTGTACTTACAGAATCTGAACCACATTAAGCTTCTTGCAAATGAGCAGCTTCCAGCTATGGGCAGCTTTTTGGTGCAAACAGTGATTTAATCCTACTCCAACATAAGAGAGGTGAACTCACATGCTATGCAAATGGGTGCTTTAGAAATATTCATAGTAACATTAATCAAGGGCAGCTTTCTGAGCTGCTTGTGTCAAAACTCCCATCATTTAAAGGGCAAATCAGTAAAAAAATGCCCAGAAGAACCCCAAAGGGTGTTCCAGCAGGAATATGCACATTAGTCTCTTTTCCTCACCAAGAAAGTAATTAGATATAGAGTAATCTGCCTTCCTGAAAGTCTTGTAATAATCCCAAAGTTTAGGCCTGAGGTATGAGATTTTATATCCCTCCTCACAAGGTCAATTAACATTAATAATTCATCCTTCTCTAAGGCTTGCTAATTTACTGGCCTTAGTTATGTCTTGTGGCAATGAGTTCTACATTTAATAGAAGAAATTAAAATTGAGAAAATACTTCTTTTTAGAAGTTTTGAACAATCCAGCTTCATGGATGTATTTTGTCAGAAGACAGAGGGGCAGATGCACATGATAAACATGATTTCTTCTGGTGTCAATCAAATTCTTCCACTTTCCACAGATTTAACCACAGATTTGCTCCCTGCTCATTTGTGATGATGGCAGGAATTGTGTTTGAGATACCAGAAACAAATTTTTAGTCATGTTACCATTAGCAACTATGCTACAATTAATAACACCATTAATAAAATCATGGAAGACACTGGCCACGCGAAGGACTGTTCTTTATCTCTGAAGCTACCACCTTACAGGGGCTGATCGAGGTACTTACAGCTCCCAAATTTCAGTGGGCAAGCATGCACATCCATTGGGAAGTCCTCCAGGTGCATGGGGCACTCGGCATGAATTGTTAGCCTACAAGACAAAACACAGGGCATGATCAGAAACACACGGCTGCAGAGGCTCCCACCTGGCCCTTCTGCCATGACATCTTTACACCGCATCCATCAAAGGCCTCAACGTGGTCCCTAACTCCTAGGTCTTCAGGCAGAAGGCCATCAGCTGTGGAGAGAGCAGAAGGCATGCAGATCTGGCTGCCTTTCCCATTTTTTGAACTCAGCACTATTGACTGAGTTCATCTTTATCCACTCAGTGCAATCAGAAAATCTGCCAAAGGCCAGGACGTGTGTTTGCTTCTGCGCTGTGCAGAGAGCTCATTAACGCCAGGTGCCAGGGGACACCTCACGGATGGTGCTGGACAGCAGAAGGAAGGGCTTCCAGGGACACCTAACACGGCCATTTCTTCCCGATGGGCTGGGAGGAGCCAAGGGCTGGCAGATTATTCACCAAAGCCAAAGAATTAAGGGGCATGCTGAGCAAAGTGAGAGCCAGGAGGTCGCAGGTGGCACTGCAGGGCACAAGGCCGCAGTGCGTGTGGGGCACCACAGCCCACCTCCTGTGGCGGTGGCATTGCAGAGGACGCACACAGGCAGATGTAGAAGTGCCCATCCCGGGGATGCTGGCAGGAGTGCTGGACTGCTTTTGTGCTCAGTGCATCCACCAAATCCCAGCAGGATGCCTCATCACTAAGTGGTTTCATCAGGGAGGCGCAAGCATAATCACAGCACGCTGCAGAACATGGGGCCAGGCATGAAAGGATCCGTTATAAAAGGCTCTAAAAAAGGAAGCTCTGAGCTCTTCTTCTTCCTCCTTGAAGTACCGAAAAGCCTGCGGACTAGGAGGGAGAGCCAGAACAGATGGCTTCCCCGGAGACTTCTAATATGATCTCCTCTGGAGGAGCAGTTTTGTCAAAATGGACCCGCTTCTGATGGCTCAGAAAAATAACAAGGAACAAATAATATGTGATGGGAGCAAGGGCTGAGTGCAAAGGGCAAGTGCACAGACTGAAGGCTGAAGGTGGTTTGTGGAAAACACAGGTCAAGAGGCACGGTGGAAACCTTCTATCAAGACATTTTCCTTTAGCTGGAAAATGGCCTTTTAACCAATGGGATATGTTCAGGTCAGTTATTCTCCACAGGAAATATTAAGGCTTTGTCAAATGCAAGACAAACCTCAAAAATAATAGAGGGTTCAGATTTTTCCTAGCAAAAAAAGAAAAAAAGAAAAAAAGACAAGAGAGGAAAAACAAATGAGAGAGAGAAAAAAGAAAGTTAAAATAAAAAAAAAAAAAAGGATTTTGTTTTCATAGGAGCAAGCCTTAAATGACTCTAGGGGAAAAAAAAAAAAAAAAAAAAAAAAAGGGGAAAAAAAAAAGAAGGACTTTTTTAAAGTTATCATCAAAGAGTCCTGCTGGATGACAGCAAACACTTCCCAAATCACTCCAAGTACCTCTGTAAGGAAGCATAAGAGTGGCAGCATGGCTTGGGGCCTCCAGAGAGGATGGAGGCGGCGGTGATGGTGGCCGCAGGCAGCAGATGGTGCTGCGGCAGGCAGGACACGAGCTTTGTGCCAGGGAGGGCAGCAGCAGCAGATTCCTGCAGAGCTGCTCCGCGTCAGCTGCTGTATCCTGGAAACTCCCCTCCAGCGATGAAGTTTGCTCTGCCACTGTGAGGGAACGAACCTCATGATTTTGGAGCCACATCCAGTATCATCAGTTCAGTTCCTTTTCGAGGAGCTGCAAAAGCTGGCATCCTCAGCCAGGCAGAGGTGTTAAATCAAGAAGCAGAGGAGCAGAGCTGGAAGCTGGCATAACCTCAGTGAGGTAGGGCTGGGTGGACCAAACCCTCCTATGTGACCAGAAGCCCCCACAGCAGGGGTTTCAAACCCTGCAAACCCAGCCTTTGAGTTTTCTTGTGTGAGATTGCAAAGGAAACAGGTGAGGAAAGTGGTTTCCTGCAGGTCTTCTGCATCCATCCCCACCGTGTTTCAGTGATACCTCCCTGCTCTATAATGCGACAGCAGCAAATATTTTTTTCTGATGTTTTCCAGAGCCAGGTACAACTGCCCCATCTCCACCAGGCACATCCAGCCAGGGGCAACTATAAAAACAGCAGCTCCCACAGGCAGGACGGGCTCAGTTCTGGTAAACAGGTCTCAGCAGGATGTGGCCCCATACACCCCGTGTGGATTGTTAAGGTCACATTTGCTGCTGGGTCTCAAGGGCTCTCAGCCCAGCCATGACTGATACGATGCTCCATACTCTGGCCACGTTAGTCAGAAGGGGTTTAACGTGTCTGCACAGACAGACTCCACGTCTAGTAGAGGAGGCCAGGAGGTGCTTATGGGGAAGTACAGAACCCGTGCATGTTCTGAGCAAGTCTCTCCTTGCTGTCCTCTCCCAGAGCTGGTGGTTTACAGCTAGCATGCTTCAGAGGCTGCATTTAGCCTTTTGAGCGCACAAGAGACCAAGGACCTTACCTTGTCTGTGAATCCTTGCTGAGTAGGGGCTGGTGAACACCATGTCTGTGGTAATTGTTCTACTGAAAGAGCTGATAATGACATTCCTACTTTCATTTTGTCTGGCCCCAGCTTGGCTTTCTCAGCCTACCCCACAACCACTGTGTGGACAACATTACTTCCTTGAAAGCAAATCTTCCTCTGACCTGCTGATCTCATTTTCACCTCTGTGCTGAACATACATGCCCTTACATGAGAGAAAAGCAGGGCTGAGCTTTAGGATGTCAGCCAAGACTCACTAATTTCAACAAGCCTATGAGCACATTGCTGCAATGACTTTCTGCTGGGGACCAAATGCCACCACCAACTGCTCTTTCACTTTGATGTTGCTTTTTTATAATGTGGATGAAGATTAAGATTTCAAGAAGCGGGTGTAAAAACATGGTAGCAAGGCATAAGTTAAACAGTCTTGCTCCTTCTGTTCTGTTTCTTGAGTGATGCTTTCTTTTTTCCAGCTTGGAATTTACCTGGGGAGCTTTGTTGTTTGTAAGCATGTCAAGCATATCCTCACTGATTTTACCACTCAATTATTTCTGTTTCCTTTCCAACTGCAGTGGACTTTTTGCTTCTAGTATTTGTCACTGTCACTTGCATAAAGGAAATGTTGATGCCTCTGCATGCAAAATTTAGCATTCCACCTGTTTCCCTCAGGAGGCCACACAAGACTCTTCCTTTTAACCTTCCCATTGCTGCCATGGCTTCACTAACTGCTTTATCACTTCAAAAAGCTCTTAGCTGGGTGTTCACAAAGTCGGCTTTTCCAAAAGCCTTCTTCTAGTCAGTGCTTTCCTTCTGATTTATCCTGAACTGCCCCAAAACAGAATGGCCTTTTTCATCCACTGTTCTGGCTGCAAATTTTGGCTGTGATTAACAACTACTAGGGATAAAGCTGAACATGGACAGCTCAAGGGACCACAGATTGTGGGTCCGGTTGCTGAGTGCCATTTAGAGCAGCCAGAAAGAGTCTCAGAGGGGGCCAGGACAGCAGCAGAGACCAGCTGGGCACAAGCTGGCTTTGGCCATACCCAACTGCCCACTCCAGGCCATGGCCAACAAGAGCAACTGTCATCAAGAGAAGGACACAACTTTATAACAATGCCAGATGACTCCGTGGCTGTGTGGGAAAGCAGCAGTCACAATTTAAATCTGAAGTGTGTCTTATTAGCTGAGCCAGTAAGCAACAACAGAACACAATAAATATATCAACAAACTACTGAAAAAAGCAACCTAATCCACCACCTCCTCCACCCACAACTGAAGAAGCTGGGTCTTTTTTTATCTTTTTTTTTTTTCTAAGTCTCCTGAAATTAAATAAAAGCAAAATGCCGTATCATCCCGGCGAGATGAGTGTGGTTCAGCAATTTCAACCAGCCTGAAGTCAGCACATTCACGGATAACACGTGAAGGCAGTCAGCTTCCTTGCTGAAAAGAAATGGAGCACGGGCATTCCCCCTCACAGCTATTCTCCTTGGCCTGAAACCTCTTTGCCTTTGCCCCGTGTGTGCTGGCCCCAAGGTGCTCTGTCCCACGCACTATTGCTCCTCCTTACCCCCCATGTCCCTCAGCTATCCTTCACTCCCCTTAGCTGTGCCCTCTTCTCCTGCAGCCTCTCTCGCACACACTCATCGTTCAGAGCACTAATTAGCAGCAGCATTAGGTGAGCTGTGGCATCAATCACCGCTGAGGAAGTGCCTGTATTCCTCTTTCATCCCCCCAGCTCTCCCCACAGCCTCCTGTTGCTGGAAGAGGGCTCCTCAGCACCATATGCTTTGCCTAATGAAACGTCAAAATGTCAGGCTAAGAGGAATGTACCTCGCTTCCCAGACAATTACCACTGCCTCTGCGGCGTTCGTGCTAAAGAGCCTGTTACAGAAATTCTCATCTTTGCCCCTGACCCCGTACAAGAGAGCTCATGGCCAGATAGCCACAGAGGTTTGCTTCATTGCCCTGGTGTCCTGTTCAGGTCTGGACATCTGAGCCCTGAAATGCCACTGCAAAGCCTCATCAGAATGTGAAAAAATAGCCAAACTGCCAGCAAACACATCATCCAGCTGCTGTATCCTTTGGCTCGTCCATCCCAGTCACTAACAACTTCTGCAGACCTGTCTTGGGATCAAATCACCAACTCCTTGTGCTTTCCTCTGCTTTGCTGCCACGGCAGCACCAAAAGTAGAACATCCAGTGGAGAAGCCATGTTTTTCCTCTTTAAAGTCACGGGGAGCCCTTTGAACTGCTCAACACAATGGCAAGAAGCGTGAATCAGGCTAAACATACCTCTCCCAGAGCTGGCGGTACAACAAACCTCTTCAGCTGCGTTCTCATGGTTACCGGCAGCTTAGCAGAGCCTTTGATGTGTCATTAGAGCCCCCGTCGCTACCTGCCTCTGCCTCGTGCTGCAGGATGAGGGAGAGCCTCGGTCCAATTTCTGGGACGCAAAAGGCAATAATCCCTCGGTGTACGTGTGCTCCAAAAACATGACAGCACCCTGCACAGCGGAGCCAACTTTGTTTATGCCGGGGAGATTGCTTGAGTTTTGTCCTGATTTCTCCTCCAGGAGGTTTGTTAATAACCACAGTCAGGATGAATAGGTAGTGTTTGCGGTTTGGGCTGTGTGCAAATCTAGGTTAGGTTTAATTGCTGGGGTTTGAGTTTGAAAGCCAAGTTTTTTTCTAGGATCCTTGTGCTGGATCTGAAAACACAGAACTCACTTTGCAGCCAACCCCCAGAGATTTCAGCCCATGATGGCAGAAATGCAGGGAGATAAGGCAATCCCTGAAGATTTCTCCCTCCTGGGACAGCTTCCTTACGAAAGTGTGCCTGCATAAAAGCAAACCTGGAAAATAGGTCGTTTCTGCCTTTGGATCCACTCAGGAAACTGTATGGAAGGGAGAAGCTTCAAACTGACTCATAACATCTCACCTCATCTATTCAGGGGCTTGTGTGCTCAGCAGTGTAACTTGGTCTGCTTAGGTCCCTTTATGCTGTTGCCTACACCAAGCACAAGGTAGGATGAAGCCAAATAGCTGCAGCTCTGTACTATGCAGAGGAGCTGGTTCTGGGATGCCTGAGCTGCTCCTCTTGCAGAAGGGAGAAATATGGTTGCACCTCCACTGTACAGGAGGGTTTTGCAAGATGCAGCCTCCAGTTATCACAAATTACCCAGGGGTTAAAACAAAAAACAGGCGGTAAAGCAACCCAAAGCTTTTGCTGGGAGAGATCCTGCAAGACTGCAATTTCAAACAGCAGCCTGGGAGTCACAACCCCCTAAGCATGCTGCAGCAGGTATGGGGCTTGTTATCTAGGGCTCAACCACCTCGTTGGGGCTCCATGTGCCCCGGGTGCCTTTGTGCCCATCTTTCCCTAACACCCTGCCTCCACCTCAGGCGGGGCTGCATTTGTCCTTTCCAGGTGCTCGTGCACTGCAGCTGAAGACTTTACATTGTCTTCAGCAATACTGGTTCTTGAGGCAAAGTCTTTGGGCATGCAGTTGAATGTGTCAGCCTGGCAGTTAAAGAAAACATCCTCTGAGTGCATAACTTGAGCACATATTGTCTGGGAAACACTCTGACAATAACCACAAAGCCTCAACACGCCACTCTGACAGTGCCTGTGAAAAGTAGAAGAGCTCTTTAAAACCTGGATTCACAAAGTTGAATCCCATCGGCACAGCATCAAGCTTTTGCTATTTTCATGTTTCAAGGCCAGGAAGAACCAGAACACTATCGATGTGCCCCACACAATTTGAGCCAGAGATTACATCCAGAGATTGCTGCAGCAGCTGAGTTTTTGTCTGTACCTTATGTAAATCCACGTGCAATCCCCGGTTTGTTGTGTTCAGCTCAGACACCAGAGCTTTGAGACCTTAACTGGGCTTTTGTGAGCTACTTAGATCTTGTAGGAGCTCCAAAAACAAGACAGCAGAGGCAGGGCTACATGACAAAGCTGTGTTCCCCGCACTCTCTACGGCAGCCAGAGCAGCAGGGAAGAGGCAGGAGGATCAGTAATCCTGTCCGTTGCTCAGCAGCCAGAAGGAAGGGAAGAGAGAAATACAATTTTGTGCTGCGGTCACAAAGGCCATCTTGTCACCCAGGTGCCAAGGCCTGAGTCAGGGATCAGATGTCTGAACCATGGTGCCTAAGGGATCTGCGCTGTGATGTGACTAAGGGAAATCTCTGGACGCCCAGCTACAGCTGGTGTGCAGCTCCTCAAAGCTCAGGTCAGTGATAAAGAGGCTCTCTCCAGGAGCCATAAATATTGTCACACTGGTGTAATTTTGCTGGATGCATGTGTCAGAGTTGCTGTTCCACCAGAGCAACTTCATCTATAAATGTAAGCCTTGACTAAGAGAAGTGGGCTTTCACGGCAGGATAAATAGCAAGAGACATGCCTCTAATTGCACATCAGCAGAGCTGATCCCTCAAGGATATTGGCTGGTACAAGGTAAAGGAGGAAGATACGTCTCAGGAGTCAAACTGCATGGCAAAGCACCAGCCTTGACTGAGCCTGCAAGCGACTGCATGGGACAGGCAGCACGCAGCCCTGACAGTGCTGGGAAAAGCTGATGGAGGTCAAAACTCACTCCCCAGTCAGCAGCACAATGTGGGCCTTGGGGATTTGCACCTGGCTGGATGGCAGCTCTGTGTGGCTGAGACTGCCTTCCTGCTCCCTCCTTTCAGAAGGACACGCATGTGTGCCACTTGGAGCTAGTCTGGGATGAAGGAAGCACAACATAAAATGAGACTTCTTCCAGCCCTTTACTGGGAGGAGGTTTCAAAGCACCTAACGAGGGAGGGCAATGCCATCACCATCATTTTTACAGAGGAACTGAGGTGCCTATGAGTATCTACAAACCCGTGGCAGAGCCAGGTCTGGTCTCTGAGCCTCAGCCTGATCACAGGCTGCACAGCCTGTGCCCTTACATCTTCTTTCTGAGCTCCCACCCAAAAGACCCTGCGTGGCCCTGAGTGAGCTTTTTCTCCAGCAGCAGGGAGAAGAACAATCATCAGCTGTGCTGTGACAGAGATCCTGTCCTGCATGTATCAAACAGCAAACCAAAAAATGGTATACATGTAAAACCTCTTTCATCCCTAAGACACTGTCCTGTGCAGAGCTGTGCTTGCCAGATGCCTTTCTGGCCAGCTCTGACCACATCTCCAGCACCAGGCTGGTCCAACACTGCTTGGGGCCGCACTGGAATAGTTTCACACATGCTATCGGGAAAGTTTGCAAGTAACAAGCTCTGCTGGACAAGCAAAAAGTCCACGTGCACTACGGCTCCTGGTACTGAGCAATACAATGTGACATATCCAGTCCTCACCTTTGGGTATCTCTGAGTGGGATCTTCACCTCCTGCAAAGACTTGGAAGTACATTTAAGGGGGGGGCAAAAGCAAAAACAAAGGTAGGTCTCTTTGTGGTCTCCTTTGTCCCCCCTCCTTCCCTGGGAGACGGCTACACTGAATGATGTGTTGAATTTATGTAAAATGCCCTGTGACTCCACTCCCTCTGAGAAGCTCATTCCCAAGAGCCTCGTGATGCTGGCACCCTGGCACCTTCCCAGCTCTAAACGAAAGAGCAAATTCAATACTTCCCCAGTCACACAAAACTTGCTGAAGGTAATGGTTATTTGCTAAATAAAGAACAAGTGAAATGATATAAACTCCCTGAAATTGGGTCCTTTTTTGCTGCTTTATGCCAGTAGCTCCTATAATGCTTTGCAGTCAGACAGGGATACAAACTGGGGGAGTGTTAGTCATCTGACATGCAGGTCAGACAGCCAGGAGCAGAGCTGAGCCCTTAAGTCAAATTGGGCTTCTCCCTTCATTTACCCCATCTGCCTCAGTAACGTGAGATCACTGATGTTCAGAGACCTCCACCCCCAGGGCACTGGCAGGATTAGCTCATATTTGAGAAGTGCTGCACAAGAGCAGAGCATTGTTTATCAATGTAGGCTGTAAAACTTGCTGACACTGTGTAGATTCACAGCCAGCTCAGCTATGAAGAGATGAAATCCTGTCTGGTCCTCGAACAGCAGAGGTGAAAGTGCAGCATCTCGGCACACAGCATCCACAATGAAGCGTGTTATTAGTTTGGGTTGGCTTGAAGATGGAGGCACAGAAAATAATTTTTGAAAACAAGGATTTACACCTTGCCATAAACAACTCAGTACCATTCTTCTGCATCTCTGAGTATCTTGCTGTTTCATTTATAGGTCCATTTACCTTGGAAGGCAGATTAGTACATCAACCCCAGGTGGCAAACTTTAGTTACATGGGTGAATAGCTTCCAAGCATACAGGAACAACTCAGTAATTCCTGAATTAACATACAATTAACCCAAAGTTATTCCTCCACGTTCTCTGCCTGTTGCAGTTTAGTGGCAAGTGTATGTACCAGGGCTGTTCTTGAAAAATCCATGACCCCCCAGGCATGGTTCCCCAACAGCAACCTGTGCCTGGAAGGAAGACCCCAGCTTGTTAGATCTTGTTAGATCTTTCAGAGGGTTCTAGAGTAATATGCCAACAAATTCAGAGCTGCTCTCAAGCTGCTGGAGAATGCCAAATTCTCCCATCCTAAAGTTTTACCAAAAACCTGACTTCATATCCCATCAGAGATCAGGAACAAAAATCACTTTGGTAGCAAAGAAATTGCTTTAAGTACAGATCCAAACCTGCCTGCATGGGACTGTCATGTGTGCAGGGACCTGGAAGGCCATGACACGAGCTTACCTCATGGTGTACAGGAGGGTGCCGTTGTCCACCAGGCGCAGCAGCTTGTTGGGTGTTGTCATGTTGTGGGCAACAGATTTTTTCCCGTTGTGGAAGAAGGTGTCAGGGGTCCAGATCTTACTGGCCAGCAGGTTGTTCAGGGGGAGTATCTTCATGGGACCGTCGAACTTCAGCCTCTCGTCTCTCCAGGACTGCCGGAAAAATACATCAATGGTGTATTCCTTTGTGGAGAAAGGAGAGAAAAATAAGTCTCGTATTACTTAACTCCTCATCGAAGTGCTTCAAGAAACGGTGAACATCTTCAATCATTGAGCAGATTCTGTTTGGGCAGTCCTTGGTTGATAAGAAGCCTGATGCAATGAGAAGGGGAGAAAACTGTGAAGGATCACAAGCGCTTGCTGCGTTTTGGAAAGTGTTTTACATGTGATGCCAAAACCTGTGTCTCAGTGTTTGTGACAGACTGCAGACAAGCTGCAATTCAGCCTGCAGTGCAAAGCAGTTAGTCCTGGGGACGCACTGCTGCACCTCTATCCAGACGTCACAGCAGAGGGGACCATTGTGTGCTGCTGTGTGGGAGTTTGAACAGGCAAAAATGAAGTTCCATGATGTGCAATTGGGCAAGGATGCCTATAATTCTACTCCTATTCCTAAAACAAACATACAAATAAAGTTTCAGGACATCATTTTAATGTTCTTTTGTTCACCAGAACATCTCCAGCAAAACATTGAATCAAAGACCACATAAACTTGTCATTATACAAGATTCAGTGACTTCTGTTTTCTTTCTTTCCTTTTTTTTTTCTTTTCTTTTTTTTTTTTTTTTCTTTTTTCTTTTTTTCTTTCTAATGTAGAAACCCATTTCCTAGGCTTATTTCCAGCTGGGGCAATTAGAAGCTATTTCTTTGAAATCCTGAAGCTAGAGACAGCTCACAGTTTCTCAGTGTTACTGACAAAATGGATTTTTGCCATCCAAGGAGAAAGCCAGAAAAATAAACACCAAACACACCTCAGCCTTCAGTAACAATGTAATGTTGAAGGGGGTGCTGGAGAAATATAACTTAATATAAGCAGTTACCTCCATGCCTCAGCCCCTCTCCCAGTGGCGGGGCATTCACTTATCTGCAGCTCTTGTACTGTGGAAGCGGTGACAAGGTGGAATCAAGTGTGCAGGGGCTGAAGGGTCAGCCCTGCCCCTGAGCACAAGACAAGGACTGTCTTCAAGTCCTTCTGAGAGGAGAGGGGAAAAACTGGGGAGATATTTTCAAGTTGGGTGCAGAAGGACAGGAAGAGGTGCAAAGCCATACAAAGCCAGAGCAGGGCGCTTTGTGCAGGAGGCAGGGCTCCGTGGTGATGAGCAGGTTTCACCTCACAAGGATGCTCCTCGTGAGCATTTTATTAGCAGTTATGCAAGGTAGCGGGATGCACCCCAGCAAATATCACCTCACCGAGGTGGCAGACTCACATCCCCAAGGCCAGGCTCACAGTGTCCTCAGCCTCGGCAGCCACCTGACAGAGCAGCAAAGGCACTGCGGCTCCACAGCCACCCCGAGGTAAAATTAAATTAGTCTCAGGTGCCTGGCACGTGGGGCTGCCATTGCCTCTGACCCAAGCCACTCGGCGTGCTCTTGGGGCTCACGGCCCTTGAGGGAACCGCCTGACCCCGTCAGCATGAGCTGCTCCACTGCTCACCTCTGTGCACACACCTTATCTGGCTAACAAAGGATCTCATTAGCTCCCAAGGTTTGTGGAGAGAGACAGGGACTTTGGAAAAGCTGTCCCAGCTGTTCTTCCCCTGCCATTGCAGTTTCACAGTCTTTATTTATGGGCTCCTGGAGGCTGCAGAACCAACTAAACTTATCATTGTGAGTGATTTCTTTCCTGCAGCTCTTCTCAGCAGCATTTAAAAGCTGCTGCACATCAGTTTCCTATAGGTCATAGAAATTCCTGCAGGTTTTGCAGCAGATGGCAGCTAAGCGAAAGCATCTTGGTAAAGAAATTCCTCCCTGCTCCCTGACCACAGAGCCACTTCTGCCCAAATGTGGGGTTTCTGGAGCCTGGTTTGGGGAAGGAAAGAGAAAAGACCCTGTGGTCACACAGGCTCTGCCCTGTGAGGATATTCTGTCCCTTCACAGAAGGCGATTATCCCTTAGTGGTTTTAAACTCAGTGAAAAAATAAACCCAAAGGAATGAGGCTGTGTCTAGTTCCAGGAGGTAGGTTTGGGAAAAGCCCTGATCAGGAGAACAGCTATCTTATTCAGAACTCTCTGTTCCTACTTATAAAAATAAATAAATTACTTTTCTGATACATTCTTGCAGGTCTTCTTTTATGCTAAGGAAAGATTCCTAAAGAAAAGAGAAACTGTGTACAGATTCTTCCCCTCTTTTCTATCCTTATTTCCATGAGAGCATCATTTCCAGGTCACCCCTTCCAAGGAACACGCTTACTTCTAGGCTGTGCTCTCCTCCACCTTCTAGAAGTGGCTGAAAACATGAAGACTGAGCGCATCCATCAAAGCTTAAAACTCCTGGGATTTATTTATTTTTATTTCCTGGGGACTAAGACAAAACTGCAAGAGCTCACTACTGCAGATTCAGGCACATGTCAGGTCCCATCAGGCTCTTTCCTAACCAAACTGAGTCTAGAAGGCCCTTGGAGCATCTCAGGGAGAAGGCGCTCATGTCCTCCTCCGTGCTCTGTAAGCAGCTGCTCTCCTCCGCACTGCACAGCAGCTTTACCTCTGCTCCATCACCATCATCACAGCCTCTGCCTGCACCAGGACGCACTGAGCAGCTCTCCATGGCAGTGAGGAAGGGCTGTGGGAGGAACAGGAGCCAGATCAGCAGGCAGATGCGAGCAGGGAGGGAGGGACTTCCCCACGCCGAGATGAAAGGAACCACCACAGAGGAGCAGGCTCTCCCCACGCTTCCCTAGGAGATGGGGTTTCTCTCTCACACATCCGAGTGCATTTAACACCGGAATGGCACGCTAAAACACATTCGCTATGCATTTGCAAAATACACGGAACTAAAGCATGCAAGGGGGAAATAATTTATTATTCTTTAACTGTCTTCCTAATTTTAAATTCATTTTGTCAAATCACATTGCAGAGAATACCTTCCTCTTTCCAATACCTCATATTTCTTCTTCACAGTTCATTATACACGCTCCCTTAATCAAATATGCTCCACCTTGGAAGTAATTATCAGATACTCCCCAAGGGCTGAGATTGCTGAATATATTATGGGTCTCCGCTGCAGTGGGAAAGCAAGCGAGATAGAGAGAGAACTCAGATGAGATTAATACTCTCGGCTACACTGACATTAACTCCTCACCCTGGAAGGAGTGCTCTTTCCAAAGCCACATGAGGCTGTGCGGTGGGGCTAGCACCGCAACGAGATGTAATCCTCCACTAGCTCCTCCACTTCCTAGCACCGGACAGTCGGTGAGGGAAGCCCCAGGTTCACAACCTTGTGGGCGTGGAAAATGAAACCCTCCTGGCTTCCCAGGGGCTTCAAGAGCTGCAGGACGTTGCTTCTACTTGCCCCAGCTGTTGAGAGCACTGTCTGCTCCCCCTCCTGTGGTGGGCTCCCCCCAATCTCAGCGCTACCCACCTCCCACCTGGGTCACCCCAACACCAGGTCCCTCTGGGACCAGCACGCAGAAGGGGCTCAGCACCAAGCCTGTGACCGTCCTCGTGGGGAAGCCCCAAAATGTTGGGCAGCCACCAACAGCCAGCTCCTCCCTGAGCGGCTGGGCGCGTGTGGTGTACGAGCTGCAAGAAACACTGTGGAGAAAGCTCACTATTAATTATGCTCCACAGTCCTGTTTTAATTAGAAGACAAACTGTTGTGGGAATACAAGCCTAGATTCAGACCTCAGGCCTTTTCATTAATAATTTTCCCTGAACATGTCAAAATACTGCAATCAGTTCGCTCTTTTTCTGTTTCCTATTTTGCCTCCTTTCTGGTTCAAGCACTAAGGACCATTTCTTGGTGGAACATGTTCTCTCCTGGCATTGCCATCAAAACAAGCAGGGTTCTGGCATCCTCCCTTCTTCACATGGAGCACCTTCCTTCCTCCGCACACCGTCAGGCTGAAGAAAGCTGTGCTTACAGGAGATAAAAAGACCCTTGCAGTGTTCTTGAGTAGTGCAACGATATCAGCTCTTCAAATTTGCTTTTGCCATTATCAACATCTGATGGGACAAACCATCCATGCCCCGTGAGGCAACCAGCCAGCAGCACTTACCATGTCTGTGTCCGAGACGGGGCCAAAACTCGTCACATAAATGTCTGTCTTGACTTCAGTTACGCTGTCTGGAATGAAAAAAAAAAAAAAAAGGGGTTGGGGGGAAGAGGGGGGAGGGCATGTTTAAAAAGCAATTAGAGAACAGAATTCATTTATCCGGGAAAGGTTTTGACATGGTGCACTTTCATGGCAAATGCCACCCTAGCAAAGCCCTTGGTGAGCTGGCATCACACTTTCTGCTGTACCCTGAAGAAGGGCTGATTTATCACTTGTAATCGGGCAAATTCATCTCTGAGCAGCTCTGCTGCTTTCCACTTTTACACCAAGGATGAGTAGGTCCCACGCAGCCAGACGACGTGCATTTGCAAAATGCATACAGCTATGCAGTACATAACGTGGTGCAGATCCACACATTTTTAATGTAGAGGTAAAGCCCTGATGTTCTGAAACTCCTTTTAATCTGCAATCCCTTTGTGTCTCCCAGCCTGATAAATAGCCTAGCAATGTTCCACTGGTTTTAGGAAACCCTGGTTTTGTTACAGCTCCAGGCTTATCCGTACATAAAAAGAATCAATATTCTGATTGCCTTTTACTCCCATCGCGCTTGTTTTCCTGATGAGCAGCTGCTGTTGCAAAGCTGCTGCTCCCATGCATCACTCAAACACCCACATGCCGACACACACTGCCCCCGTGGGTGCTGACCTCCAGACACTGCCCAGCAAGAGCCCTGAGCCCCAGTTCCTGCCCAGAGCCCTAAAACTCAGGGCAATCTTACTCATATGCCTTCAGGTAGAGACGGGCCAAAGTGCTGCCCAGAACATGGCCAAAACAGCACACACAGCTCTCATTCTGGCTTCCTTCATTATGATCTCGGTGTGTTTCCCCAAAAAAATATCTCTGTTTGCAGGGAAATGAAGGCACAGAGTGGGTCATTTTCCAGATTCACAGCCCTATGCTCTCTGCCCACTGGGTTATGCTGAAAAAATGATGAATGAGATGAGCTTAGCACTATGCTACCATAAATCCCCATTGCTTTAGGGATAGATCATGCAATTGTGCTCCTTTTGTGTGGCATTAGCTGGCTCGGAGCTGCTTTTTGAATAATCAAATTAGAGCCACAAGTAAGAGCTCATGTTTTATCTGTAGTATCCCATTCTGGCCACTGCAGCAGTTCGCAGGTAGCCTGGATGGCCCATTGCTCAATTCAGTTATGGAAATCCTTCCATCCCCTGACAGTTATTTTGCAGTATTACGAAGCTTAGTCTTATGCTTCAAAGTTTTGTATCCAAAAATAAGATAATGCATTCTGGCAGAGTTTTCTCCTTAATGGCTAAAATATACATATACATGTCCTTAGTTATTATGGCTGGAAAGCATCTGATGCAGCCTGTGGCTGATATTGCTGTGCTATATAAGTAACCCTTGATCTTGTCTCGATGTGATAAAAAGAAGGTTAAAGAGAAATATGTATGTGGTACACTTTCTGAAACACTCAGAAAGCAACGAGACAGCATCCTGAGCAAAATGAGCTACTTCTGTAAGACTCAGGGTATTCTCTCCATCTCCCACCAAGCAAGTCCTCAAATGAGATACACAGAAGAAAACTCTAGTGAAGCAAGGCTCTTTAACACATGCAGCGAGAAAACTAATTATATTTTAGAGAAAACTCGATCTCTCTCCCCTCCTGTCCCCTCCTCCCTTCCTAGCATTCAGCTTACCTACAATAAATAATTTGTAGTCACGGCTCTCAGAGCAGACCCGTGGCTGCCCATGTACCCAAGGGGAACTGAGCTGGGCAGAGGGGTGAAAGGACCCCCACTCTACAAAGGGACCCTCAGGATCCAAGCTCCATGGAAGGGATTTGGGGAGCAACGGTGAGGTGAAAAGGCAGGACTAGTTTGGGGCACCTTTACATACGATGATGATGTCCTTATCATACTGTAACCTGGCTGTCACAGAGCCCACAGACCCTTTCCCACCCCATCAATCTGGCAAACCCAATCTAAGATGATATTTATTAAGATCCTGTGTTAAAAAAAAAAAAAAAAAAAAAAAAAAAAAAAAAAAAAAAAACATTACCTAGGACTGACAGACAGACAGACTGCTCACCCAGACTGTCACGGATGTTCTCCTGCCCAGCAGGATGCCTGCACCCTTCGTGGCAAAAGCCTCGCAGAACTTCCCCATTAATATGTGCTCCTAAAGCAGGGCATGGACTGGCCGGGATCCAGAGGGATTTCTGAAATTAAATCGTTCCTGAGCAAGCAGGGATTTCAACAGAGCAGGGAAATCCTGAGATCGGTAAAACACCAGCAGAGCTCCCCTTCCTGCGTGGTGCTGCAACCCAGGAGCTCCCACACTGCTCTGAGCACCTCAGCCCATGATGGTGACACCTTCTGCTGCAGCGATGGGGAGCTGCTCAGCCAGCCTCTCCTCCTTGCCCTCACGTGTTCCCCCCTCAGCCCCAACAAGGGGAAATCTCACTTATTTTGCGGCTACAGAGAGAAGAGCATCACCTGCCTCAGTTCAGGGACACCCTAGTCCCCAGCCTGGCTGCTTTTTGCAACTCCCACCAAAGACGTGATAACTCAGGGCTGTGCTGTATTTAGGTGCATTCCCTGGGCCTGCTGCAGAACGTTAAGTGGTGTTTTTCCTTTCCTAGCACTGCTGTTCCTTACCGCTTGAAGTTTTTTATATGCAGGGTGAATTGAGCCTTCGAGCCCGCTGGGAGGCAGGTGGATGCTGCCAGCCCTATTTTACCGCTGGGGAAACAAAAAAAAAAAGGAGAGGATTGGCTCAGGTGGGAAGCTGGAGCAGAGCACAGAGCAGAACCCTGGGGGCTGCACCACTGCCCAGCACAGGGCGCGCTGTGCCTCTTGGCACTCGCACCCTCAAGCCCCACGGCCAAGCCCCACGATGGCCCTGCAGCTGACACCTGGGGACTGGGAATGAAAGAAAATGCCTCGAAGCAGATATGAAACAAGAAGAACAAGGGATTTTCAGGTTCAGTGTTTGAACATTGGCAGAGTTTAGATACCTGGGTGGTGTATCCTGATCCCAAGCCATTCAAGGCTGGTTCCCTTGTCTGTGCCTTTGCCCACTTATAGGCTCGGTTTATTCCCAAGCCTCAGCACACCTGGGTTTCCAAAAGCGTGTGAGCAGGAGTGAGGCTCTGCAGGTCCCTCGGAGCTGCCCCTTCACTCACAGGGCACAAAGCCTGGCCCCTGCCTGCCAAGCACCGTGCTTCGCTCCTGCTGCAGAAATCCCCCACTGCCAGACAGATCTGCAATGCAAATGTAAAACAAAAGCTGCAACATCCCTTCCCACAGTGTTACCATGGCATTCCCTACACCTGCCTGCTCCTTAAAAGCTGCTCCTCTCCTTCTCCAGGAATTTGCCACACCGCATCTAGCTGCTTGTGCAGGCAATAAATATCCCTATTAGCATTGCACAGAGGGCTGGATTCTGCCACCCCAAGCCAGCAGGGTGGGTTGCCTCCCTTTCACATGCAGGCTGCTGCGGGGGTGCTTCGGGGTTCCCATTTCATAGCACACGCTCCCCCCAATCCCCTGCTGCTGCCCAGAGTCCCCCCGTCCCCTCCTTCCTGCGCTGGCTCCCTGCAGTACTCTGCAAGCGGAGAGGCAGAACCCCCCCCTTCCTGCAATCCCCCTTTTAAGTGCTCATGACTCCCTAGGCCTGCGAGGAGATCGTTATTATTTACAAAACGACCGAGTGCTATTTTTACTCTCTTCTTGGAAGCAGCGGCAGAGCTGGAATACAAATCACGCCGCCTCTCCCAGCCCGGCTGTCGATTGCAGGGCTGCCTCGACAAGTGATTACAGGAGGCAGGGGGGCACGGGGCGGGGGAGACCGAGAAAGCTCTTATTAAACATCCCGCTGCACTCATCAAGCGCTGTTTATTTAAGATTCTGGGCCGGAATATAATCGACTCGGTCGGTTGTGTTTCAGCTCTTGAGGTTTGCGGGTGTGCCGAACGCGGTCACGTTTTCCCAGCCGGGGCTTCCCAGAGGCTGTGCCGCAGGCTCGCAGGAGCGCTGGAGGTTCCCTGCTGCTGCGTGCTGCTGAAACAGGGGCAAAGCAAAGCTGCTGCGGCTCCGTGCCGGGGATTCCTGGCTGCGGCGCTGACGTAGGGGAGGCTCGCAGCCCTGTCTCGCAGCCGAGCTGGGTGAGCGAGGGGACGGGGATCTCCATGGGCTGCGGAGGCTGCGAGGCTGGCCGTAGCCGTGTTTCTGAGCATGATGGCATGGATGGGGCTAAAGAGGAGGATGGTGCTGTCCCTGCTCTGCAGCACCCAGGGGTATGAACCCTAAATCCGCTCCAGAGCAGTGTCTGGATGCTGATGTTTCTGCACCAGGCTCCTACGAACTGCCACAGCCTGAAAAGCACAGCGACAGGCTGGCAATGCCCCTTAATGCTCCCCTAGGCTGCACTTAGCCTTGGCTCAAGACTTTCTCAGCTTCATGAGGTCCCTTATTCAGTGATCTTCCTCCAAATACCTGTGCAGTGTCCCCTCAAACACACAAAATCCTCCAGGAAGGACTCCCACTGCCCTGTGGTGGGGGCAGCATCACCATGCAGAGAAAGGGAACACAGCACAGCTGTCCCACATCAGGCAATCCAGAGTGAGCATGTGGGACAGGATGGGGCATCAGAGCCACCACAACATCCCCAGGAAGGGAACCACAGAAGAGGAGTTCGTACAACCAGCCTCCACCGCCTGCCTTCCCCCAGGCACTTGCCACGCTATCTAATTTTTGCAGCTGCACGCAAGCTTTTTGGGTGTCTCAGTCTTCATTTTCTCAGTCTCCCACTGCAGGGATTTAATTTCCTTTCAGTTTTAGCCTCAGCCCAGGGCAGGTCCCTGGGGGCTCCCTCCCTGCAGAGCACAGCAGACACCAGCACTGGCCAGAGCCATCAATGGGTCACAGAGGGATATGGAGGGGACGGGGCAGGTTTATTATTTCTTACAAGAATATCACAAGAGACATTCAATAGAATCGAGCCATCTGAAATCAGCAAGGTGCTCAGCAGCACAGCACACAGCCTG